CCTTGAACAAAGGATTTCCGATCAAGTCCTTGATGCACTCTACAGGATTGCGCATCCACAGTTCAACATCTTCGTGCAACGGTTCGCCTTTTTCGTCCATTCTATTTCCCTGAACGCTATCTTCTTACAGCTCCAGGCGGCTCCATGCGGGAGTTCATCAACCTTCTTGAGGAATGATCGGTTGTTGTGGAATGAAGCTTGCATTCGGTTTCGGGTCTATCACGCTGGTCAGTACATTTTTTCGGTGCTTGATGCCAAACTTACAATCGATAACTTTAGAAATTCATCGGTTCGAGTCTGCCCAAGGCTTTTTACAAGCCACTCAGCGAGACCCCACTCTTCCCTGGCAGCTAAAGTCAGGCAGAGGCCATCAACATGAAGGGTACGTACTCGTCACAAAATGGAGCCCACTCGTCCTCACCCATGCCTTCCTTGTACTTCCGGTATCGTTCAAATTCAGTTTCCCCTTCCTGCAGTGCCCATCCACCATCAGAACATTGCTTGAAATAGCGCCCACCACCTCCCACTACCTCACCTTCATCCACTACCTCACCTTCGTCAGCAACATCCTCGACCGTCACACGCCGACTTTTTGGTGCCGGCGGATTAAGTTCATCAGCCTCGAAAGAGTTGGACCATGAGTGGCAAAGTGGGGAAAATGAGTTGCCAGCATCGTCGTTCTCCATAGAAGGTGCGTTGTCTTCCAAGTCTTTTTCTTCAATCGTTAACTCCCATGCCGTTCTGCATTTAGGCCGGTTAGCTATGTGTCTCTTGATGCCCCCCCTCGTAGGGAACTCCTTGCCACAAAATGTACAGCAGTGCGACATAGTATGTGAGTAGGTGAGTGTTTCGCCCTGGTCTTAGGTGACTTGTCTCATTGTAGTATGCCCTTTTTTTTTTTCAATGGCCTGGTCTAGACTTAAACTGGGCGCAGTTACCGGGCGCTGCGCCACAACTAGATCCAAGCACCACACCACACCACACCACACAACCCTTAATGAGTTGGAAAGTACAGCAAGTCTTGGCTGGTTTTGTTGATTGGGAGGACAATCCATGAGGTGCGCAGCTGGGTTTGTTGATTGGGAGGGGTGTGCTTATCCTGATCTTGCAACCAGATGTGCCCTCACAAAGTGCAAGAGGGACTTATCCCAGTTCTGCCACCAGACGCACCCTCACAAACCTACGGATTACGGCCTCGTTTAGACTCAATCCATGCGCCAAGTCGCAACCAGGTATGGGTTTTTTTTTGAGGATGATCCATGAGGTGTGCTTACCCTGGTCATTCCGTCTACAGTAAGATAGGCAAAGATCCTGCCTGCCATTCTGCTTACCCTGCCATTCCGTCTACAGTAAGATAGGTACATGCTCTTATTCTGACCAGTTTGAATGATACTTACATCTTGCCTAGTTCCCAACACAATTCCGTCTACAGTAAGATAGGCAAAGATCCTGCCTGCCATTCTGCTTACCCTGCCATTCCGTCTACAGTAAGATAGGCAAAGATCCTGCCCGCCATTCCGTCTACAGTAAGATAGGCAAAGATCCTGGTCATTCCGTCTACAGTAAGATAGGTACGTGCTCTTATTCTGATCGGTTTGAATGATACTTACATCTTGCCTAGTTCCCAACACACAACCTCCATTACAATCTTCCTCGTCTAGCGAGAGAACAAGATCGAGAGAGCCAATGACCAATTCTAGTATGTTAATTCTCGTCTCTGATACTAGCTAATTTGATGTGCTACGTTAGTTTGGAAATACCATGGGCGGCCAGAAGTACCTCTAAAAGCTGCGCCCGTTTGGCTTCCTCGCACCGTTTCACCTCCGCATCCCAGCGCTCAACGACGAGCCTTCGTATGCTCGCTTGTAAGATACTAATAGCTGGGCCTGGTGCTATTTCTAACAGTTGCAGTTTTTTTGCTTGCTCGCAGGCCTTCACTTCTGCCTCCCAACGCTCCAGAATTAGGTTTCGTATGTAATTCTGGGAAGCTGTGACAGGGCCAGGTGTTTGACGAAACGGAGGGCGCAGGAACATGGGCTCTGCATCAGGCCTTTCGAGCTTGGGTCTGCAAGCCGGTGAGTATTTGAGTGTAACGTGGAATGGCAACTAACCTTTTGACGTCAATTTTCGTGTCTTCACAGCCAGCCTCTTTGCGACCAGCAATTTGTGACATCGGGCTGCAAGATTTGTCAGAGCACAGTGAGTTTTGAAGCAAGCTCCATACTGTTTTTTTGACGAGTCGGGGGTATTCATAACAGTGAAAATAAATTGTGACGGTATGATCATACCTTTTTATTGTCCCTCTTGTTTGACACAGCTTTCAGCCCTTCATTCTTCAAATCAACAATCAACGAACTATTAAGGTTCAATTGTGAGTTATTTGTCTGTTTCACAGTGGTATAAATTGTGCTGACCTGCTGTGTACTTTGACTAGACAACCATGGCACCTCGTAAGCCTACCTCCAAGCCAAAGCGCGCCCCCTCACCACCTGCCGCAAAACAGCAGGTGCGCACTGCAAGTGGTCGAGAGCGGCGACCAACTGAAAAAGAGAACTACCATCGTAAGTACCAGCACATTATGTTCCGCTCACTCACCATCTCGTTCTACAGTCAGTGAATCCCAACATGTTGTCCATCGCCAAGAAATCAAGGAAACCCGGACGGCAAAACAGAAGAAGAAGGCCTTAAAGGCTGCCTACCAAGGGCATCCTGACCTCTTCGAGAAAGAGCCGTCAGAGCTCCTTAGCGACATGGACAGGCAAGAAGACACAATGGTACGAGCTTTTGTTTTCTTTCCTCATCTTAAATCAGCCGCTGACATTTATTTTTTTCAGTTCTCTGACCACAGTGTCGATACAAGGTTGTCCAACACTAATAGCCTGACATTCAGTACAGGGAAAATCCCTCCAAGGTTGCGCAACTCATCCATACCTACAACCAAAGGACCAAAAGGTATGTTTTTACTTTATATAATTACACTACTAACCCTCCATCAAACAGCACCACATAATGTTGACGAGTCAACAGACGACGACGACGACGACGCTGCCGACGATGCTGACGATGACGACGACGAACAGTTGCCTGCAGCTCGAGGGACCAAGCGATCATTCGATGACATGTCATATGAAGATACCGTGGTGCCGAAGGTCAAGAAAAACGCTGACGGTTCGCATCGACACGTGAAAGCCAGCGACTTTGACGAAATCTCGAAAGAGATTCTCATAACTGCTTGCTCCGTTTATTGGTGTCTCATTGTCGCACAGGCACCTTTTCCGGATTCCGTTGCAGCTGAGACAAAACTGGCAAAAGAGGCCTGGCGCGAGGCATGTCAACTCAAAGGTGTTGACGTCAAACTGACCCCTTCGGCGGTGAATATGGTGAGCACAGTATTTTTAGTGCATTCCTGGTCTTATTCGTTCAAAGCTGTTGAAACGCGCTTCACACGTGCGAGGCGAACTCAAGACGAAGATGCGTCCGCTCACGGCTTCCGCTCAAGTAATTCTATGGAGGTGATAAGGTCAAACCGAGATCTCGCAGAGAGATTGAAAATTGGCTCGATCTTTGTTTTCAAGGTGAGTATTTGACGGTCTACATAACTTAGTGCTGACATTGAGCAATAGGACCCGTCATCCAAGTCAGGCATCTACAAGACCGAGTTGCTTCAACAGGGTATCAACAGCATGTGGTTCTTGAACCGAAGTGACGAGGGTGTCATCTACCACAAATACTTCGACCCCATCCCTATCAAAACTATTGCGCTCGTGCTTATGGCTGTGAGCCGTTTTTCACATTCTTACTTTCAACTTGATGACGCTGACAATATCTTATAGATAGAATGTTGTGTTGATGAGTGGTCGCAAGGCATCAAAGAGGACATCAAGTTCACATCTGCTGGTTATGGGGCCGTCTACAACCATCATTTCAGCTCACTGCAACGCTTTGATGAGCGCACTGCACCTTACAAACTCCTTTCAAAAATTCGTATCAATCTGCATGATACAGCGCGATATGTTGGACTCTTATCTCACTGACTCTTCTAATGCTCGCGCTTCTCAGCTTCCACGCAGGTGTCGCATCACTCATTCCATTGTCAGCTACATCCCAGGCCCACATCGACGATGTGGCGTTTGAAGACGCTATTCGAGAGTACCAGCGTGAGGGGAAGGATGCGGCAGTCGAGGATGAGGTCGAGGAGTATGAGTATCCTAGTAGCGAGGGTGGGGATGATGAATAGGGATGCAGTGAGTAAGACGTTCGTATTATGCTAGTTTGTGTTTCAGGTGGTTGAATTTAATTGTGACTACGAGGTTCTTTGGTGTGCTATATAGCTGCTGGTAGTAATTTATAGCTGCGTGCAGTAGCACTCCGACAAACTACGGTAGTACCTTGTAGCTACTGGTAGTTACTATGGGACTCTATGGTGTCTACATAGAGGGCACTTGACAACGGGGCTACTCGCGCTACCCTGACTATATAGCACTATGTAGTCACTATGTTTTTTCCTGATGTCTATCAAGCAGTCAATTTACTCGCTCTTCTCCCAAGTTACTAGCTTATACGAGGTAACATCAAACTAATCTGGACTGTCAGTGTTGATGAATTGACGATCGCTTCAGCAGGCAAAGTGTACCATCACCTTCGAACGAGTTAGGCATCCTTCGAAATCACTATCCATATCAGGCCGCAGGATACGAGAAAGCCCTCCCCGACAATCCCTCGAATACTAAGTGCTTACCCGTACTACTTTGCTATGCTCTCTGGCAGACCGGTCACGGCTTCGAGATCGTCATGGCCCGTTGTGCCAGTGAAGGAATCGAATCTAACACCCGTGTTGACCTTAAGGAGCTACAAATCCAAATACAAGAAGGCTACTCCATCCATATCCTACTTTCCAGATGGGAAGCGGATAATCAGCGGGTCGTGCGATAAGACCATCCGTGAATGGGACATAGAAGCGGGCAAGAAAATTGAGCAGGCGCAAAATGTGTGTAAGGAAGAGGTACATGCTGTGGGGGTATCAAGGGATGGTCGATGGGTTGTCTCAGCACATCACTAAAAACCACTAAGCATGATATGACAGTATTCACCTTATAAGTTGGGCGATGTCTGATTTCCCCTTATATGCCTATGTCATGGTGTGTATAGCACCAGCTTAGATTTGTGATGTGTTACTTATCTTGTCTTTTGCCTTTTGTTTTGATGAATCAAATGTAAACCCATATTGACCGCTAATCTAGTGTTCCAAGTTCTACATTGCGCATCTACGACACGGGTCACATGATTGCGTGTTGATCTGTTTCTTCATCTAGCTTCTTGCTGATAAACCATTATAACCCCATGTTAGATTCCAAGCCAGTGTTCTAGCATCTACAACTTGAACAATACTGGACCTAGGCGAAAAAAGGGAACAGCCCGAACCCAACCTCGAGCTTATTGCCAAGTATATCAACACAGGCAGGCCGTCGCCGTCATCCTTCTTGTCCCTCAGGCCTCAACAACAACAACACGGCACGCCGGCACCAGCAAGCTCCGCCGAACGAAGACTTCCTCCCCTCCCTGTCATTCAACAAACAATGCAAGACTTCTCTGTCTCCTGTGTTGGACTTGAGCCCACTCTTGACGCTCGTTCTCATGATTCTCGCTCATTCACGTTCTCACTTGTCATCATCTGCATGGTGTGTTTTTAAGCAATTTTTATTTATTTTACATATTACTTGATGTCTTCCTGCTTGTCTCATCCATCTCCTCTCTCTCGTTCTCGTTCTCCTCCTTGTCTTCTTCCCTTCTGCTCTCGTCCATCGTCCGTATTCGTCTGAGCCACATCAGCAGTTGCTGATGTGTGCTGGGCGTTTGCGCATGGTGTTCGTGGCATTGGGAACGGCATGGTGGAGTTCAAGCATTGATTCAGCATGCAGACTGCGGCTTGCATGGGCCCAAGCCGGGCCGGGAACATCACTAATGTACGAGAGTCCAGGACTTCATATCAGTGTGACTTTGCTTCAAAGTGAACTGATACGGTCTGAGTTGTTAGTCATTTGTCCTGAACCGACGTCCAAAGTGGATAGTTTCAGTTCTCCATTAGTCTTTGTTGTCTACCACTGACACCGAAGCTCGCAGCCTTACCCGGCTCCGACCCTGCTCCATTCCTCTTTTCCTATTTCAAAACACTCTGACTACCGGATCTCAAGATGAATGAGGTACAACTCCATTGGCAGAGGTCAAGACCTCAGTCACCGCTCGGCAAGCATATATTCTGGTCATTCATAGGTAAGGATCCGACTCTGACTTTATTTATAACCCCCACTATCACCTACTCTGCCTCTAGTCACTCATTAACGCTACTTCCTTCAAGTTTCTCGAGTCTCCGTCCAGGGAGTTGTGCCGTATGGTATGGTTCGGCAACAAGCATTGTGGTCTATGTTTCTGTCTAAGGAACGCTGGTCTTCGACAATATGGCCAAAGTCGATCCCACATTCAAACTCGATCCTACATTCAAACTCGGTCCCATGGCCAACCTTTATTCCAAGGCCACAAACTGTATTCTATGGCCAGACTCGATCCCATCACATTCTATAGTACTGCGGCCTGCCAAATTCGATCTCATACCACCGAGCCCGATCCTATAACGCTGTACTTTATTCGAGTCCATGATGCCTGGTGCGAATCCCCACTTATGGACCACTATGTCTTGCTTTCGTTGGACTTCAAGACGCTCACAATATCTGTTGTGGTTACCCGCTGTCTGTTATTGTCAAATTCTTGCAGGTGGTGTTGACAATGAGATTGGGGTAGAGCACGTGTATTGTACCAAGCATTTTTGTATAACTCGCATACCATCCAATATGATTTCCTGGCCAATCAAGTATAAAACCCATAATATCATAATACCAGTATTTGAAGCAATTGTCTGTATGATGGTACAGATGGCAAGAATTTATATTTTTGTTACTTATTGGACAGGAGAGCCACTGTGCTAGAAATTCTACATGAGAAACACTTCGTTGAACATGTTTCATCACTTCAAAACAGTACTAGTATTTGTCACTACACGATTCATGACAATCATTGGTCATAGGGGATAGCGTTCTAAACACTTATATGCCTATATATCTCGCACTGTCATATTTTAGCCGAATATGGTTATTATCTACATGATAATGTGTATATAATGGTTTGTGGGGAACGGTGGGATTTAGTGATGGCCAGGATACACGGAACTCAAAGTCCGTGAGGTTGAGACGGGAACCGTGAGAACATTCGAAGGCCACCAACTGACAAATAGTATGAACTGCATCGACATCTCTGGGGACAGCACACTACTGGCGAGTGTGTCGAATGGTACAACACGGATATGGAGCTTGGAAACATGCAATCTCGTGGCTGGTCCATTCAAAAGTATCAACTGGATGGTGGGCGCAGTCCGATTCTCGCAAGACTCAAAAAAGCTCGCACTCAAGTCAAATGGGGTGAAATCGAGCTGCCTCGAAGTGTGGGATATCCAATCACAGAGATTACTTCTTTACAGAGAAGGTGACTGGGGTTTAGCAGGTGTGCCAGTGTTTTGGACTACCAAAGACACGGCCATCGTAACCGCATTCACTGCCCAATTTCAAATGAAGACGATCTATGAATTTGACGTGTCTACACTGGAGACCACCGGGGCCCCTTTTGAAGGACACACCCAAACCATCACCAGTATAGCACTTTCACTCGATCGTGCTCTCCTCGCCAGTGCTGCTTGGGACCACACCATCAAGCTCTGGGCCTTTGAGTCCCGCCAGCTCCTCGCCTCATTTAACAGTGGTTCTACCATCGACCACCTTATTTTCTCACCCAACTCGCATCAACTAGTTTACACGACCAAGTACAACAACGGTATCTACCTATGCGACACACCCCCTGAGATCTTTGCTAGCATCCAGCCAGCACCACAACTTGATAGAGTGCGCAGACTACCCCGAATAGTACTATTGTTCACGTGCTTACAATTTCTTAGACCGTCTCTTCGAGAAGCCTATTCCTCACCGATGTACTCATCCCTTCCTTTTCATTTATACAACTCTATTAATCCTCTTTTTGCAGTCTGGCACGCTCTCTCATACTGTGAATCAATCTACTAGCGAGGCCCCATCCCATGCGCAAGAGAGCCTCCCTCCCTACTTTCTACCACCACCTCCCTCTATCATTTTCGCCCGTCGTCAACCAGGGTCCGAATCCTGGATTGACAGACACGCAGAAACCTCTCGCATACAGCCTACCGACATGCGACCGTCTGCTGACATGGGGCAGCGGCCTGCTGACATGCAATCGTTGCCTGATAAGATATTGGGGCAACATGAATTAGGATCCCAACCACTGCATCAGGACACACTACATTTCAACGGGGGACCGGCAGATCTCCCAAGTACCACAATATCGCCTGTCATAGTTCTTGCCCCTCAACCGCGGATATCCTTTGCTTCATGGCTACCCCAGTTACCTCGCGACCCTCGCAAGCTCTTTCCCTCCTCTTTCCATGTGCATAAAGTCTTCTCCACTCGTAATTATGAGCCTCGCGATCTCCCCCTCGAAGCGATGCTCCAAAACCTCACGGCATGTGTCGCAAAGGACGAAAAATATCCTGTTGCTCGTGGCGGGTTCGGGGAGATCTGGAAATGCACCTGTCACATGAATCGTAAATCAATCAAAGTTTGTTCACTGTCTTTTCTCTGTCCATCTGTCTAAATTAATAATCTGGTAGGTCGCAGTGAAGGCATTGCAAGTGTACGCCGCCGATCAACATGGTGCCGCAAAGACGAAGAAGATCAAGGTGAGTTTCTTGACAAAAGACTCTGTCTATTCCTTATGAGCTGCGACTTCGTAGAGGATAATGCGTGAACTCAGAATATGCGCTGCCCTCAAGCATCCAAATATTCTACCCGTTTATGGTTATACGTATGGGTTTGGCCCATATATAGCGATAGTCAGTCCTTGGGCGGAGAATGGCAACCTATCGGACTATCTGCAGCTCGAGGGCGCGGCTCTTACTCTCGTGAGAAGATTCCAGATCGTAAGTATCCCTCATATTTTATGCAGACCACATATTGATGACAATCTCAGCTCAAGGATATTATAGCTGGTTTGCAATATCGTACGTGTCGGTTATTCTCGGTCCTTGACCTGGAATAGTGATCTTGTTCACAGTTCATGCCAACGGTGTCATCCATGGTGACTTCACTGGGGTAAGTTCGACCCCTTTTCGTTAATTTTGATTTGATCGAGACATAAATTCTAGCCTAACGTGCTGATTCATGGTGATGGCACTGCGTGTGTCGCTGACTTTGGTCTTTCCTTGATGTATTCCGAAGTTATCAGTGCCTCTCAGGCTTCCTGGACGTCCACGCTGAAAGGAAACATGCGATGGATGGCTCCTGAGCTGCTCGTCGAGCGAGAGGATGGATCTCAAGTCCGGCCAAGCGAGCAGAGCGACATGTATTCATTTGGCGGTATCATGCTGCAGGTACGTCTGGTTTATTTTGGCCTCTCGTTTATATCACGGACTCCACTCGTAGGTCCTCACCAACAAAGCACCCTACTATCACCTTACGAATGATGCTGCCATCATTCTCTGCATAGCCAAGTCGCAAACGCCTTCCCGATCTCGTTATCCCGAACTCCCTGAACGATACTGGCAGTTCATTGAGAAATGCTGGTCTACCGATCCTCGGGACCGCCCATCGACGGAGGGAGCTGATGTGACGATCCATAATGAATATTACTCGCTGTCGAGATCTCGTTGATTCTTTATTTACATTCAACAGTCTGCTTAACAAAACGAGGCACAGTAACATGGTACTAGTACCTATACTGTAAACGTAGGCTTACTCCCAACATCTCCAATGTGATATGAAAATGTTGTAGTTACTGGTCTACGCCGTGTCCAACGTGTCCAATTCAGTGCCTGTGATTTGTCTGTCCATGCCCCAATTCTCACCAAACACCACATCGAAAGATGGACATCCCAAGCCGGGTTTCCGAGCCGATATCTATAGCTAAATAGTATGACAATGCCACTTCCGCTACCAGTAGAGTGAGGCTACACACTGCAAGTCGATGAATGGCTCCTAACATGCTTCCGCGCCTCCGTGACCTCCGGTCGTTGCACAGAGAAATTGTATTTATTCCAAAAACAAGTGCTTGTACGCTATACTGGCACTATATCGTTCTTCGTTTGTCCACGTCATAAATGTTCTTGCTCTCTGCTTGAAATGTTGCTTCGTTGCGTCGTGAGTGTAGTTCTTCATTACGTACTTTGAAAGATTGCCGTGATGCAGTAGGTAGTCATAGTTTCCTAAATGCTTGCTACAGTGAGAGCATAACAGGGTAGTACTTCGCATGCGGAAAGACCATACACGGTCGCGATTGCTTCACACCAAATCGAGGTGCCACCCTATTCAGACTCGTATAAGGAGGTCGACCTGCGAAATTGCTGATTTGATGAACCACACTGATTGCACGTACTCGTTCATTTGTTTTTGATGCGTCGAATGGAAAACCTAAACCAGTAGATTTGATGGACATGAGGCAGCGGATAAAAATAAACGTTGTGCAATGCACAAGGTGCCATGCCGAAGGAGCGTGTTGGGAAGTACAAGGACTTGAAGTTGCGAGCACATTCTGTCGATCGGTTAATTTGCTCGTTCTTCTCCCAGGTTGCTAGCTTCTACGAGGTAGCATCAAACTAATCTGTAATCCGTGTTAATGAATTGAGGATAAGCATCAGCAGGCAAAGTGTACCAACATCTTTGAACGAGTTAGGCATCCTTTGAAATCACTATCCATATTAGGCCACTGCAGGATACGAGAAAGCCTCACCGACGAACCTTCGAATACTTCTTACCCATATTGCCTTGCTATGCTCTCTGGCAGACCGGCTTCCATATCATCGCGGCCCATTGTTCTAGTAAAAGAATCGACTCTGACACCTGTGTTGACCTTAGGGGGCCACGGAGACACCGTTTCAGCCATATCCTACTTTCCGGACGGGAAGCGAATAATCAGCGGGTCAAACGATAAGACCACTCGTGAATGGGATCTAGAAGCGGGCAAAGAAGTCGAGGAGGCGCAGGATATTTGCAAGCAAGAGGCACATGCTGTGGGAGTATCGAGGGATGGTCGATGGGTTGTCTCTGCAGGTGGGGACTTCAACATCGGGGAGCTCAAAGTCTGTGAGGTTGAGACGGGAACGGTGAGAGCATTTGAAGGACATTCGATGACCATCAACTCCATCGATATCTCCGGAGACAGCATATTACTGGCGAGCGGGTCATTGGATGGTACAACGCGGATATGGAGCTTGGAAACAGGAAAGCTCGTGGCTGGTCCGTTCAACAGTATCAACTGGGTGAACGCAGTTCGATTCTCGCAAGACTCAAAGAAACTCACAGTCATATCATCTTGGGGGAATTACCTTGAAGTGTGGGATGTCCGATCACAGAAATTGGATGTTCACACGGGGAACCCAAGTAGCCGTTATGACACATATGCGCCCGTGTTTTGGACTACAGAGGACAAAACCATTGTAATCACATTCAGCTTAACGGACACCTCAATCAAGACAGTCTATGAATTTGACGCACCTACTCTGGAGACTATTGGAGCCCCCTTTGAAGGACACACCCAGGCCATCACTGGTCTAGCACTTTCACTCGATTGTGCTCTCCTCGCCAGTGCTTCCTATGACAATCCTATCAAAAATCTGTTTACTCGAGGAGCTGGCAACAACAGGATCCCACTTATTATGATGCCTCGTCCGCGTCATGCATCATGCCTTCGTCGATGGTCGGGCAAAATAAGTACCGGAGAGGGAAACATCACGTCAATAGTACCAAACATCGATTGACGGGATCCATTTTGCAAAACGTTGAACCATATAAGCTCGTCATTGGTATTGCATTGGCCACAGAGTTTTCTATCTACAAATGTAGCCTCGCCGAACACCGCAAACTTGACCGGTTGACCGTCCATGGCACGAGAACTACATATGATGTTAGGAAACCTACATGCAACATGTATAATGGTTTTGTGTAGAATTCCGTGCACTCAGAACACGAACTGGTGGGCCCATCTAGAAGGTCGTTGCCACACCGATTGCCATCCTCAATCACCGGAAATCCAAGAGACAACACGCCTTCGAGTTGCTGATTCAAAACCCCGAATCCAAAACGATCCACAGCTGACTTGGGATGAATAGAAAATACCTATTCGATCATCGACCGTTAATCAGAGTTTGAAACGATTCAATGCTAATTGGCAAATGACACATCCATGATACTAATAACCCTAACAACCAGAGGAGATCCGAAGGAAGCCTCACAACTGTAGGATCTCCGCTACGAACGTTCCAGGGAACAGAAGCTCAACATGTCACCGGGTGGAATTTTACGTCTTTGGGTGACCACTTGATTAAAATTCGAGGGCATGACAAGTCAGGTGAACTGGGTGAACCATGTATGTCGTCTTCTAATCTGCCGCGTGGCCTGAAACAGTTACCATCAGGCTCGTTGACGGATGTGGAAATTTGCAGCGACACGACTTTGGATGCATGTGCCAATTCGTTTAGATTGGCAAGCGAGGTACTTATGATAATAGCCTCATATTTTGGGCCTCTAGTAAGGGAGTAATGCCATGAAGCAGGTTTAAAACACCCGCACCTCTGCAACCTCGAGCAAGACGCCATCCTCACACAAATTAGATCCACCTCAACTGTGCTGCAGCTCCACTAAAATGACGACGCTCACTCCAAACATCACACCCATTCGAGCATTTGAAGATCACGGGGATCGCGTAGTCGCAGTTGCAGTTTTTCGCAGCGATGAACGCATGGTCACAGGCTCTTATGATGGGATGCTTCGTCTGTGGGACTTGGAAACAGGTGTAGTGTTGAAGAAGATGAAGGGGCATCGCAGTCGGGTGCGGGCAGTGGCCGTTTCACTAGATGGGAAATGGATAGCAAGCGGTGATGAGAGCGGCGAGCTCATCGCCTGGCATGCAAACACTGGGGAACTCGGCCAAACAATTAACAAAGCCCACGACGGCTGGATATTTTCGCTTGATTTTTCTCCAGACTCCACGGCGCTGGCCAGTGGATCATCTGACACCACTACGAAAATATGGAAGACATCAAGTTGGACGCAGTCCGATTATTTACCCAACTGTGGTGGAATTGTCCGCTGTGTTCGGTATTCAGCACATGGATGTCTTGCGATTGCAACAAACAACCATATTCGAATTCACCAAAGCTACAATTATTCCAATGTATACCCGTGTCTGAGAACAATCGGCGGAGGATTCGACTGCTCACTCGCATGGACACCAGATTGCAAAAGGCTTCTCTCGGGAGGCAACGGGGCAGATCCCACCATACGAGAGTGGGATACATCGACCTGGCAGCAGGCCGGTGGTCCCTGGAAGGGCTATTTCAAGAATATCCACGCCATTTCTCTGAACTCTAGCGGCACTCTCCTTGCCTCCGCATCTCATGACAATCGTGTCTGCCTATGGCGACTCTCAGATCAACGAAACATTGCCATATTCAAGCACTCTGGAGAGGTGAACTGCGTCACGTTCTCTGCTAATGGCAAGCGCATCCTCAGTGGAGGTGTGGATAAAAAGATCTCAGAGTGGCCAACATCCGAGGATGCTTTGCCAGAGGACGGTCCAAAGGGTGGTCTCATGAAGGAGCAAGCGACACGCCAAGTAAGTTTGTTTTCATTTTCACGCCCATTCATCATCTAAGCGTCTTTTCTATGCCAAGGTTCAAGCCTACTCTGATTTCAAGGCATGTTCCCACACTTGATTCTTATAACGCAATGTGAACATGATTTACGTAGATCCTCGCTATGAACTCGACAGTCCGCAACGCATGCATAGCTGGGGATTGGCCTACTGCTGAAAAGGCACTCAATATAGATATTGAGGCTGATGCCAATGATCACACCGCCTATGCCAATCGTGCATTTGTTATGGCGCGCAAATCCGACTGGAACCAAGCACTTCAAGACGCAATTCAGGTGAGACTGACTTGACCCTTCATGGCGTCCTTACAAAAGTTAACTTTGGTGATGGTATAGTCCCTCAGCATTCAGCCATCATTGGCAGGCCATATCTCCGAGGGCATTGCCCTATGCGGAAAAAAGCAGGTTCTGGCCGCGAGGATATCATTCGACCTCGCATCTATGTTCACGAACCGAGAATTAAAGACCGACCACTTCCTTTTCTTGATCAAGGCAGGTAATATCTTTCCAACATACTCCGTGCTTCATCGCGGCTTTTAGGCCATTGCATTGTTCAATGCAAATGAATATCAAGAAGCAATACTTCGCATCCGAGAGCTAGCTGCGTGTCCCAACGTTGATCTTGTTGCTTGCTATATCGTGGAAGTGAGCTCGATCATACCAGGTTTATGTTTTGTTATTGATTCTTGCCCTTCGTACACCAGGCCTACCTACGTGTTCAACTGGGAAAGATGGCCTTGGACAGTACGCGCCATAATGAAGCTATTGAACATTTTACTGCCGCTGCCAATGCTAGCACTTTCTTCTACAAATCGTCAATTCATTTGACGTATGATGAATTTGCCGTCGTAAGTTGATAGGACTCAAGCGAAAATTCTTTCGTGCTTAACTGCGTGTTTTCCACAGCTCTTTGGCTGGAACCTCAAGTCCTTGTGGCAAACTGCAAACCAGCAACAGTGTTATGCACTCTTTCGAGCAGGTAGTTTTAAAGCAGCCATCGAATCGTATCAGTCCATCATGGATAAGATTGATGACGATATGAAGGTCGGCTTACGTGCTTGGTTTGCTGGTAAGCATTTGGTAATATTTCCCCGTCTACCCGTTTATAATCATCAACTATACCTCACTCAGCTCTCAAGTAAGATTGAAATGCGGTTTATGCTTCCCATGGAGATGGCGCGCTCGCAGTGAGCAGTTACTCATATAGTTTGAAACAGAGATCTCGTGTAATTTTCATTTGTGCCCTGAAGGTAGCTGTATTACTTAGATATAGTCCTTGGTGTTCGTGTCATAATATGCTGGCCCGTTTACCCTATGTTTACTCTTTACCTGAAACAACTTCTGAACATCGTCTCGCGCGTCTGTCGTAGGCTGTGAGCTCTATAAGTGTGATCTTACATAATATTTTAGGTCATATGTGGCTGTGACGTTCGAGTTCGTGAATCGTCATCGCCACATCTCCAGATCTAGCTTCTACCTCGAACATCACAAACTTGACCATCCATGACATGAGAACTATACACTGTACGCAATGTGTCTCGGCGCTACTAGAACACACATTGGTGGGCCCATCTAGTAGTGCTGCCGCGGTCTGGTCCAGAACCATGGTTCGAACCGGACTTTTGGTCCGGTTCTCCGCGGTTCGGTCCATGGTTCTTGCGCCAGCCAGAACCGGACCGGAAAACGGTTCTCGGTTCTAGATCTTCCCAAACGGTCCAGTTCTGGTTCGGCCTTCCCGAACCATTCCGAACCCTTATCGACTTCAACTTCGACAACACCTGCCTCGACGTCAGACTGTCGTCTTCGGGATTCACATTGTTGATTAATCAAGCTACATTTAGCCTTTTTGAAGGTATACCAGTAAGCACTAACTAATTAAACTCTCAAGTCTCTCACCTGCTCACCTCTATAACAGGAAGTTCTATTCATTGAGGACCGGCTACAACACTGCGCAAGACTACCTTTTACTGGAGGTGGATATGTTAGGCGCGGTCAAGGTGGATTTTGGAGGGATTGTGTCTTGCGCTATGCTGCAGAGGTGCGTATTTGTGCTCTGAATGCTGATGGCTCCCTCAAGGGCCAGCACCCATCGCTACCAGCGCACAACCCATCACACGCCACGCCACCTGCGCCTATGTTGATGCCCGCCACCTCACTGCATCCCCTCTCACTCGCTTGCTGTTCTTGCCGGCTGGCTTTTGCTGGCTCGCTTGCCATGTCTCACTCGCCCACTGTCTCTCACCCTCTGTCTCTCGCCCGTTGTCTCTCACCCCGCTGGACGCGACCCAATCTTTCAATACGATGAGAGTTTTTGGAGGTACGTTTTATTTGAGTTGTGATGACGTGATGTTGAACGATCACCTTGCACTACAGGCTTTGCGCATCGCGCGATTGAGGACATCATTTGGAAGAACTACCATCATTTTCGTCCTCTCACCTTTGGGTTTGACGCTTGTGCTTCAGGGCTATCGCAAACAATCCTGAAGTCTTCCCCGAACCACACAGGTTTAATCCTCAGCGTTGGATTGACGATGCAGGTTGCGCGCGATAATCTCCGGTTGATCTCCGGTTTTTCACTTTTGGCTTTGGCCGTCGGTGAGTAGTATCGTTCATCTCTTGACCATTTCTTACGCCTTACTTGAAAATGTCAGAGTGTGTCCTCACGAATTGGTCAGTCTTCATCAATACGGCTCTCATCATGTGGGCTTTCCACTTTTCGGAGAATCCTGCGGCCACCAGCATCACAATTTTTTCTGAAGCGCCGGCCACGTCAGCATCTTCAGCAGCTACAGAGGCAGAGGGGTATGGAGTCATCATTAGAGTAGCTACTCGATGTGTAAACTAGTATTTCAATGTTTTGTTTTTCGCGCTTGCCACTGAAAATTTTCGGGTTCGGTTCGAGTTCGGACCAGAAAAAAAACCGAACCGGACCACAGAGAACCGTTCTCTGTGGTCCGGTTCTCGGTTCTCGTCCAGGGCCCTCTGAACCGGACCGAACCGGACCACGGCAGCACTACCATCTAGAAGCGGTATCCACGATCTGTCTGTGCATACCCCAAGCTGCGTCAGACAAAAGATGGGCATCCCGAGCCGGGCTTCTGAGCAAAAACCTATAATCAAAAAGAGGAGGTCGAAACTGGGATTGTTAAAACATTCAAAGGCCACTCAAAGGAAATCAGCTGCATTGATATCTCTCGTTTGTACGCAAACATTTCTTTATAGTCACATAAAAGAGCAACCCTCGGTGATCTACTCAATGTATGCACCTCGTTGTTTTGCTCATTACACAACTCATTCATTACCATCATTGCAGTCTGATACAACTTGTCTATCTCCTGCCTTGTATCACAATTCACTGGTATCGCCTAGCTCACAAAGACCTCCGCCTAAGTTCCTCGAAGCACTAGACCCAACGGCTACCATCAAAGATCGCGCATACCAGGTAATAATCCAATTCGTCCCACTAACCTTCAATCCAGGAAACCCAGAACACATCGACAACCTTGAACAAGAGAACAACTGGAGCCAAGGTGTTCTAACATCTGCACGCTGGGTCAAGCCCCCAGAAAAATGCAACAACACCCAAAGGGTCGCTCACATCATGGCATCATTCAATGACCCGAATGTAGCTAACACTAGCATCCGAGATGGCATTACTCTCAACAAATACCGCCTCCAAGTCAAGAAGAACAAACGTGAACCCATACGATGCGCGAAATGCCAACACTATGGTCATATTGCAAAGGAATGTATCTCTCACAGTGATGTCTGCGCTAACTGCTCGGGACCACACAGAACTAGCGAATGCACGGACAAATCAAGCACGGTATGCACTTCCTGTCAATCTGAAGACCACACAAGCTGGGACCGATCCTGCCCAACATTCATCCGCAAATGCGCAGACCTCGACGCCAGACAATCTGAAAACACAATGCCCTACTTCCCTACCGACGACACATGGACTCAAGTTCAAGCACCCTCCAAAGCCAAACCGTTCATCAGGAAGGAACCCACACCGGAATATTCGGAACCCTCTCAACACACGCAAGACACGCTCAAGAGACACTTTCCCCCCAGAGGAAGCCGTAACACCAGAGGCTCATACCTAAACCCGCCCCTAGGATTCTCATCTCATCAACACAACTCCCAACGACAACGTTCGGTAATGCCAGCACGCTCCACTAACTCCCTCTATGTCTAGGACACCCAACGAACAAACAGTAAGACTGCGAATCTGGCAAGGAAACTTAAACAAATCGGACACTGCCCAACACTGCATCCTTAGCGGCCCTTTCACGGCAAAAGAACAAGATATCGTTGTAATCCAGGAACCCTGTATAGACTTTCTAGGTAACACTAAGGCAACTCCGGACTGGAACATTATATACCCCTCGAACAGATATACTAATCCCAACAGACCACGCGCAATCACCCTCATCAACAAATGACTCAACTCCAACAACTGGCGACAACTCCCATTCCCATCATCAGACGTAGTGATAATTCAGCTCAGTGGACCCTTCGGCAAACTCACCATCATCAACATCTACGATGACTGCAAGAAACGAGAAGTCATTCCAGCCATCTCGGAATATCTAGAAAGGGAGATACGCACTATCCGCCCTACCGCCGGAGACCACATAATTTTAATGGGCGACTTCAATGCACATCACCCACTCTGGGAGGAAGACCGCAACGTACACCTTTGCACACCTCCAGACGCTCAGGAAAACGCACAAAACATTATTAACCTGATGGCCGACTATGATCTACAGATGGCTCTTCCAAAGAACACCCCAACGCTCCAATCCTCAAGCAGCGGCAACTGGACAAGACCAGACAATATATTTTGCACGTCCCATATGCTAGATTCGTTCACTATCTGCAATACTACTCCTAGACGCCGACCGCCGTGTACTGACCATGTTCCCATCATTAGCTCCCTAGATTTAGAAGTCCCACGTGCCTCAACAGCCACAACAGTCAACTACTGCAAAGTTGACTGGGAAGAATTCAATAGCTCCCTCGCCCGTCACCTCAGCGCATACCCTCCCCCAGCACTCATCACCTCAGAAGAACAGTTTCAAACGGCCGCCGCCAATCTTAGTGAAGCCCTTAAACGTACCATAGCCGACAAAGTCCCCAAAATGAAGCCATCCCCTCACACCAAACGATGGTGGACGAAGGAGCTCACAAAGATGTTAAAACAGAAAGACCAGCTAAGTGCAGAATCGTATAAGATGAGAGGCCTACCTGACCACCCTATACACAAAGAACATCATAAATTTCGCAACCTAACTACCGAAGCCATCTGCAAGACCAAGCAAGAGCACTGGATCAGCTTCCTCGAAGAACTCAATCAAGAAAGTGTCTACATGGCCAACAAAATCATGATGAAGCCCTATGGCAATGGAGGAAGAACAAGTATCCCTGCCCTAAAGACCAAAGACGCCAACGGCAACCAAGTAGAAGCTATCACGAATGAAGATAAGAGTATAGCCCTAGCTGAAGCATTCTTTCTGCCTCCTCCTCTCACCAGTTCAGTCCCTACTAACTTCAGCTATCCAGAACCCGTCACCCCCTTCGCTCCCATCCTGGCAGCACAGCTCATTTGCACCATCAACAACACCAGCTCGTATAAAGCTCCCGGACCCGACGGCATATGTAACATAGTATTTAAACGCGCGCAACACCTCCTCGTCCCCTACCTCCTATGCCTATTCAACGCAGTCTTCGCCCTCCAAACATACTATGACCCATGGCGAGAGTTCACGACCGTAGTCCTATGCAAACCAGAAAAGACTAACTACACCATCCCGAAAGCGTATTGTCCCATTGCCCTAATTAATACCACTTGCAAGCTACTTACCGCCCTAATAGCAGAACAAGTCACACATATCCTAGAGCAACACAACCTCCTCCCAAATACACACTTCGGTGGACGCCCAGGCCACACCACAACAGATTCCCTACACCTCCTAGAAGCTACTGTCAAGAACGCGTGGCGTAACAACAAAGTTGCCTCAATACTCTTCCTGGACATTGAAGGCGCCTTCCCCAATGCAGTAACTGACCAGCTTGCTCACAACATGAAGAAAAGACGACTCCCCCCGGAAATAGTCAATTTCACAGTCAAAATGCTTACAGGACGACACACGCAACTACGCTTCAACGACTCAACTTCAAAATGGATAGACGTTCGGAACGGAATCGGTCAAGGAGACCCCTTATCTATGATAGCCTACTTGATATATAATGCTGACCTTGTAGACATAGCTAACCCCCACAAACAGGAAACAGCCCTAGCCTTCGTCGACGACACGGCCTTCATCGCCATAGGCCCAACGTTCGAAGCCACCCACCGCACCCTGAAAGATATGATGGAACAACACGATGGAGCACTCCAATGGTCTCAAGATCACAACTCAAAATTTGAAGTTAACAAATTCACCCTAATAGATTTCACCCGCAGCAAAACCCGTCACCGCCCTCCACTAGTTATACAAAACACCACAATCAACCCCACTGAGCATCACCACTTCCTCGGCTTGCTCGTTGATCAGGAACTAACGTGGAAATATCACACAGGTCACGCAATTGCTAAGGGAGTCGAATATGTCCTCCAACTTCGCCATCTTGCCAAGCCCACCAACGGAGTATCAGCCAATCTCATGCGTAAGTTATACATTATGGTAGCCATCCCCAAGTACACCTACAGAGCGGATATATGGATCCGTCCAACCTTCAACTCGTATACAGGCTCGCCTCGGAAAGGATCTATGGGAGTGGCCCGAAAACTAGCTAAGGTACAACGTATCGCGACACTGAGCATCACAGGAGCAATGAGATCAACAGCTACTGACACCCTAGACGCACACTCGAACCTCCCCCCTATCCCCCTTCTCCTCCAGAGAATATGTCACCATTCCGCTCTCTGCCTAGCTACGCTACCAGACCGCCACCCTCTACAACCCCTCCTGAAGCACATAGTCCGACACCGGAACATATGAAGGCACCGCACGTCGCTACACGACCTCCTAGCTACATTCCAAATCCTCCCAAGTGAAACGGAAACGTTAGACCCTATCCTACGCCTAAACGCCAGTCAAAGAAATGTCGTCAAAAATCATATCACACCAAAAGCGAAGGAAGCCATCAAAGAACAGCAAGAACTCAAGGATGTGATACAATTTTTTACTGACGGCTCTGGACATAACGGAGGCATAGGAGTGGCAGCAGTTCTACTGCGGGAAGGGCAAGCACCCCGCACACTAAAGTATCACCTAGGATCAAACAAAGTACACACCATATACGAAGCAGAAGTGGTTGGACTCACACTAGCTGCCAAACTCCTAGCAACAGAACGCAATGTCACCTATCCAGCATCCATCTTCATAGATAATCGTGCAGCCATCCAATTCAGTGAGAGTCATATTGCGAAATTGGGCGGATACTTAGTAGAACATTTCCGCAGACTAACAAGAGAGCTCGCGCTACGCAGAGAGCATCACGGAAGCGACTTCGATCTAACAATCCATTGGATACCAGGACATAAAGGAGTGATAGGTAATGAACTCGCTGACGCAGCAGCAAAAGAGGCAGCAAAGGGCCCCAATGAATCAAGCGCCAAACACAGACTCCCAAAGTTCCTTCAAGATGGTCCGTTGCCGGACAGTATATCTGCCCTGAAACAGTGGCATGAGGACACCCTACAGAAACGCTGGAGCAACATATGGAAAAACTCACCCAGATACGCCAGAACCAACACAATCGACCCCACCATGCCATCCAAGAACTTTCTCTGCCTCGTAGCCCTCAGTCCACATCGACAGACCAGCATATACACTCAACTCCGCACTCGCCATGTACCCCTCAACTACCATCTACACCATCTCGGAAAGAGCGAAACCCCACACTGTCCCATATGCCCCGGTACAAACGAAACCATCCACCACTACCTACTTGATTGCCCCCAATACATCCGCGAACATCATATACTCTCTAATGTCCTACGTCGTTGAGCCTCCTCCATCTCCTTTCTCCTAGCGTCAGAAGAAGCAACTAAACCGCTTATGCGTTTCATCAACAGTACAGGACGCTTCAAAGCGACATTCAGTGAGATCCCGCTCATATAAAAAGCTCACTCTTTCACATATAGCCTATATACTACAGAATAATACGCCCGCGACCCACAACCCAATCAAACCCAACCTACAAAACGCAAAAACTAATTCAAAACTAAATTCAAACTAATCCAAACTAATTCAAAACCACTCCACACACCAAGGAAACACTGCTTGCAGGACAAACAGCACTGGAGGACCGGAAGTAGCAGGCTAGAACGAGGACAAAGATGAATGAAGGCCTGAGCACGAGACAAGACGAAGAAGCAAAGACATCGCACCAGAAACACAGCGAAAAACGCCAAATGGCACTCCTACTCACCTTACCTAGTTCTCACCTACCCATACTTTACCCCAACAGCCGTTCCCTTGTACGAAGTTGGCAGTCGGCCTTGGCCCGACTACACGCCAATGGAGTACGTGTCAAAGACCCCAGAACACATACAGTACATATACACTTACGATAGCTAGCCGGGAGTAAGCCCCCCGCACTCGAATAGGGCTATGTCCGACATAGGGTCTATGACCCCAAAGGACAATAACAATGATTTAAAAAAAAAAAAAAAAGACCTCCGCCTCCTGTAGACACGCAGCGACCCATTTCTCTATGCCTCAGCAACCTCCTTCGCCTCACTTCTCGCACGAATGCAGTTTCCCCACCTCGTAATTCACTAGATGTAGGTAGTTTATCTTCATTCTTTTATTGTTGATTCGACTATGGCACCGCAGGTCCCTGCTACATTGCCTCTACCATCCTCTCTCTTAGGGCAGGTTTCACCTCGGTTGGATCATGTCAGTCTTCAATTTTAGTAAACTCGCAACCCATCACTGACTAGTACTGTGTATACAGTTCGAAATAAGCTCTCGGTCTTTTCCCTCGAACAGTCCAGTCACGTATTTCCTATGACAACACCTTTCATTGCTTGTGCCAAAAAATAGCCATGGGCCATCAGTCGTTGAAATCGCACCAGGGTGCAAGGTCACTGTAGCCCACATCCTTCTACCTAATTTTGCTTCTTTGCTTCTTTGCACCTTACAGAGTGTGGCTGTCGCCTAACTGCCGGAGTACAAGAAAGTAGACGACACCCGACGTCCGTCTGGACAACAGCCTGGGGTACCGCAGGAAACCGAGTCGTCTGACATTGATTCACAGTCACTCCTAGATGTGCATTGGTGCAAGGCATTCTTGTGCTATTATTCATGCTGGTCTCATGGCAGACTGAGGATGCATCCATGATGTCATTTGGAGCGTGTTAATATACCTCGTCAGGACGGCATGGCAAATACTAGTACCAGCCATAGTGGGTCATAGCTGACTTTGCGTGGACCAATCTACCGCTGTGTCCTCCATGACTGATGATTTTACATTTATATATCAATTCTACACCATCTCCGATACTCGGTGCACTTGCAAATTACTATCATAAGATGAACATGCATGATTCGGATGATATTTGGGTATCCGAGTCTCCCGCGGAATATTTATTGTTCTGATCATATTCGTTTCGCTATTGATGTGTGATTCAGATGTCTCATCGCTACTTTCATATCGATAAACCAGATTTGTTCTCTAACCGCATCTGTTTACTCGAGGAGCTGGAAACAACAGGATCCCACTTATTATGATGCCTCGTCAGTGATTGGGCAAAATAAGTACCGGAGAGGGAAACATCACGTCAATAGTACCAAACATCAATCGATCGGATCCATTTTGCAAAATGTTGAACCATGTTCGATAAGCTTGTCAATGGTATTGCATTGGCCACAGAGCTTCTATCTACAAATGTAGCCTTGCCGAACACCACAAACTTGACCGGTTGACTATCTGACATGGCACGAGAACTACACATGATGTTAAGAAACCTACATGCAACATACATCATGGTTCCGTGTAGAATTTCGTGCACTCAGAACACGAGCTGGTGGGCCCATCTAGAAGGTCGTCACCATTAGTGCTGCCGCGGTCCGGTTCAGAACCATGGTTCGAACCGGACTTTTGGTCCGGTTCTGGACGGTTCGGTCCATGGTTTTGGTGTCAGCCCGAACCGAACCGGAAATCGGTTCTCGGTTCTAGGTCCTGCCGAACTGTTCTATTTTGGTTCGGCCTTGCCGAACCATTCCGAACCCTTCTCAACTCTGACTTCGACGCCACTTACTTCGATGTCGACCGAACTTCGGGATTTGCACTCTACTCTTCTGCCTTTAGCCTTTTTGAAGGTACGTACTAACTAATCAAAATTTTGATTCTCTCACACACTGACATTTGTTTAAATATGTCACAGATATTGATCACCCACGCACTCAGATCCATCTCTCCTCGTGCACTTCCTTTCCCTTGCGCTACTTTCCCTGGATCCACGCCACGTGTTGACAACACCACCAGGGACCCTGTCGCTGTCGGCGACTATGTCCCCAACTACATTGCCAAACGGTAGCATCCTCATCCATATTTCCTTGCCTGTAACTCATTCCTTTCAACTAGCATTAATGACTTTGCACCGACCGCTAGCAAACCTTTCGTGCTCGGTCTCCCAACTGGCTCCTCTCCTATTCCAACTTACAAAGCCCTCATCAATAAAGTCCAGGAGGGCAGTTTATCGTGAGTGCTGAACCAGTATACTCGAAGTTGCGTTTATCCATTCATGACTCCAGGTTCAATCATAAACACAGTCGATATTCCCCCCTCCCAAGTCAATTTACTGGACGGGAACACCGAAGACTTGGTCACGGAGTGCAATGCATACGAGTCTCGCATCAAGCAGTGTGGTGGTATCGAGCTCTTCCTGGGTGGTATCGACGAGGATGGGCATATCGCATTCAACGAGCCTGGTATGTCTCGTTTCTTCACCTCCTGTTGTCCCTTTTCTCATGGCTTCTCTACTGTATGATTGTTCTGTCTTCTTGACACGTTCATTGTCGTCCCAACCCAACTCCCAGTACCCTCTCACTTCCTTTGGCACCCTCTCGCTACCTTTGGAGCCCTCCTGCCATCAAGTTCAGCGCCCTCTTGCTACCTTCAGCATCCTCTCGCTACCTCTCTGACTCAGGGATTGGTGCTCAATCTCACGCTGCTGCTCACCGCCATCTCACTCTGCTGCTTGCTGCCATCTCCCGCTGCTGCTCGCCGCCATCTTCGTCAACTCTAACGGATCTCCTTAGATATTGTCGTCCATATTTTCCCTTGCATAGGCTCTTCATGAGCCTGACCTGCCCATGACCCACATTCTGCTCACGAGTTGCTCAGAATCGCATATTTGTAAAGCCTTTCAGATCAAAGAGGCGCACCCGCTGGTTGTGAGGCAACTCTCGTGTGCGACGGCCTTGCGTCGCGTGTGCTTTTCTGTGGCAGTAGGCCCTCGTCAGTTTGCATTGTTTGTCAGGTTGTAATCTCGCACTGACTCAGTGATTGTCGCTGTGCTTGCGGACCTTCTGCTGCTGTCACAAATCTTGGCCCTGGTCTGGGCAGGGATGTGCAGACAACGCTGACACAGCTACGGTCTGTCATGGATATCCCTACAAACAGCACTCTCCCCGTGAATATCTATCTCTCGTCCATTCACGCAACTATGCTTCTGACCTCTCAAAATGCAGCTAGCACTAACTGAATTCCTCGACAACCTCCACACCTTCCAAACTCTCCATTCGCATCCAGCGCTCTTTAGGGCTCCCATTTCCGACAGCAGCAGTAGAAGCAGAGAAGCATGCAGTGCTATGTTAGACTAGTTACTCGATGTCAGTAGATCTACAATGTCAATTTTTGTTGCGCTTGAAAAAATTTCAGTTCGGTTCGCGTTCGGACCACAAAAAAACCGAACCGGACTGTTGAGAACGGTTCTTGATGGTCCGGTTCTGGGTTCGACGATTTTGCAGAACCGGACCACGGTTCAGTTCTCGGTTCTCGTCCAGGACCCTCTGAACCGGACCGAACCGGACCACGGCAGCACTAGTCACCATACCGATCGCCTTCCTCGACCACCAGAAATCCAATAGACAACACGCCTTCAGGTTGCCGATTCAAAACTCCGAATCCAAAACAGTCCAACGCTCAATCACAGCTGACTTGGGATGAATAGAAAATACCTATTCGACCATCAATGATCGTTAATCAGAGTTTGAAACGATTGATTATCGATTATCTTCAATGCTAATTGGAAATCACGCACCCATGATGCTAACAACCCCAACAACCAGGGATCCGAATGAAGCCTCATCAACCGTAGGATCTCCACTACGAACGTTCCACGGAACAAAAGCTCAACATGTCAACGGGTGGAACTCTACGTCTTTGGTGATTAGAATTCGAGGGTATGACCAATCAGGTGAATTGGGTGAACCGTGCGTGTCTTCTTCCTATCTGCCGCATGGGCCCCTGAAACAATTACGATCAGGCTCGTCGACTTATGTAGAAAATTGCGGTGACACAACTTAGACGTACGAGCCCATTCGTTTATATTTGCAAGCAAGGTACTTATGACAATAGCCTCGTGTTTTGGGCGTCTAGTGAGGGGTTAATGCCATAAAACAGGTTTAGAACAGCCCATCAGACAATGCAATCTCGAGCAAGACGCCATCCCCCCACATACCAAGCCCACCTCAACTGTGCTGCAGCTACACTAAAATGGCGGCGCTCATTCCAAACATCACACCCATTCGAGCATTTGAAGGTCATGGGGATCGCGTGGTCGCAGTCGCGGTTCTCAGTCCCCAATATAGCTACGACGAACGCATGGTCACGGGCTCGTATGACGGGATGCTTCGTCTATGGGACTTGAAAACAGGTGTAGTGTTGAAGAAGATGGAGGGGACATCAGCAGTCGAGTACGGGCATTGGCTGTGTCACGAGATGGGAAATGGATAGCAAGCGGCGATGAGAGCGGAGAGCTCATCAGTGTGGCATGGAAAAACTGGGGAACTCAGCCAAACAGTCAATAAAGCCCACGACGGCTGCTATATTTTCACTTGATTTTTCTTCAGATTACGGCTACGGGGCGTTGGCCAGTGGATCATCTGACACCACCACGAAAATATGGTACCCACAATTCTTGAAGGAGTCCCGATATTCAATCAGTTGTGGTGGAAATGTCCGCTGTGTTCGGTATTCGATGCATAGATATTATCTTGCGATTGCAACAGACGACCGTATCCAAATTTACCAGGGCTGCAGTAATTATTCCAGTACACCCCACTGTACTGAAAACGATCGGTGGAGGGATTCAATTACTCACTCACATGGATGCCAGATGGCACACGGCTTTTTTCAGGGGGCAACGGAGCTGATCCCACCATACGAGAGTGGGATACATCGACCTGGAAGCAGGTCGGTGAGCCCTGGAAAGGCCATTTCAAGAATATCCACGCCATTTCTGTGAACCTTAGCGGTACTCTCCTTGCCTCCGCATCTCATGACAATCGTGTCCGCCTCTGGCGAATCTCAGATCGACGAAACATTGCCATATTCAAACACTCTGGGGAGGTGAACTGCGTCACATTCTCTGCGAATGGCAAGCTCGTCCTCAGTGGAGGTATGGATAAAAAGATCTCAGAGTGGCCAACATCCGAGGATGCTTTCATAGAGGATGGTTCAAAAGACGGCCTCATGAAAGAGCAGGTGACACGCACAGTACGTTTGTTTTCATTTTCTCGCCCGTTTATCATCTAAACGTCTTTTCATGGCAAGGCTCAAGCCTACTCTGATTTCAAGGCATGTTCCCACCTTTGGCTCTTATAACGCAATGTGAACATGATCTACGCAGGTCCTCGCTATGAACTCGACAGTCCGCAATGCATGCATAGCTGGGGACTGGCCTGCCGCTGAAAAGGTGCTAAATCTTGGTGTTAACACTGATGATCACACCGCCTACGCCAATCGCGCATTTGTCATGGCACGAAAGTGCAACTGGGACCAAGCACTTCAAGACGCAATTCAGGTGAGACTGACTGACCCTTCATTAACTCCTCGCAAAAGTTAACTTTGATGACATAGTCCGTCACCATTCAGCCATCGTTGGCAGGCCATATATCCAAGGGCATTGCCCTCTGCGGAAAAAAGCAAGTTCTGGCTGCGAGGATCTCATTCGATCTCGCATCGATGTTCACAAACCGAGATTTAAAGACCGATCACTTCCTTTTCTTGATCAAGGCAGGTAATATTTTTTCTCACATACTGCGTGCTTCATTGCGGTTTTTAGACAATTGGGTTGTTCAATGCAAATGAACATCAAGAGGCAATTCTTCGCATCCGAGAGCTAGCTGCGTCTCCCGATGTCGATCCTGTTGCTTGTCGTATAGTAGAAGTGAGTACCATTCGCTCACTCATGCCAGATTCATGTGTCGTTATTGATTCCTGTCCTTTGTAAACCAGGCCCATCTACGTGTCCAACTGGGAAACATTGCCTTGGAGGGCGCGCGCTACAACGAAGCTGTTGAACACTTCACTGCCGCTGCCAATGCTAGCACTTTCTTTTACAGATCGCCAATTCATTTGACGTACGATGGATTTGTCGTGGTATGCTGATATGACTCAACCGAAAATTGATTCATGCTCAACTGCATGTTTTCCACAGCTATTTGGCTGGGACCTCAAGTCCTTGTGGCAAACTGCGAATCAGCAACAGTGTTATGCACTCCTTCGAGCAGGTAGTTTTGGAGCAGCCATCGAATCGTATCAGTCCATGATGGATCAGATTGATGAGGATATGAAGCTCGACTTACGTGCTTGGTTCGCTGGTAAGTATTCGGTGATATTTCCCTGTCTCCCCGTTTATAATCATCAACTACACTTCACTTAGCTCTCAAGTAAGATTGAAATGCGGTCTATGCTTCCCATGGAGATGGCGCGCTCGCAGCGAGCAGTTACTCATATCGTTTGAAGTACAGAGATCCTCGTGTAATTTTCATTTGCACCTTGACGGTAGCTGTATTACTTAGATAGTCCTTGGTGTTCGTGTCATAATATGCTGGCCCGCTTGAGCATGTTTACCCTATGTTTACTTTTACCTGAAATAACTTCTGAACATCGTCTCGCGCGTCTGTCGTGAAGTTTCAGGCTGTGAGTTATAAGTGTGATGATCTTGGTCATATGTGGCTGTGACGTTCGAGTTCGCCACATCTCCGACAGATCTAGCTTCTATGTGCAAAGTAACCTCGAACTTCATCACAAACTTGACCGGTCGACCATCCATGACACGAGAACTATACACTGTATGCACTGTGACTCGGCACTGCTAGAACATGAACTGGTGGGCCCATCTAGAAGGTCATTGCGATACCCCGAAGTCCGAGAGACAACGTGTCATCGAAGTTCGAATTGCCAATTCAAAATCATCGAATCCAACGTTCGAACGAAGTTCAATAATAGCTGATCAACTTGAATCAGTTTGAAACAATTATCTTCAATACTACATTAATGGTAAATCGCACACCCGTAATGCTAACAACCACAGGAGATGAAAGGAAACCTCACGACTGTAGGATTTACGCTACAAACGTTCCAGGGAACAGAAGCTCAACATGTCACCGGGTGGAATACTACATTTTGGGGTGATGACTTTATCAAAATTTGGGGGCATGGTCAATCAGGTGCATCGGGTGAACCGTGTAAGTCTTCTTCCTATCTGCCGCGTGGACTCCTGAAACAATTATGATCAGGCCCGTTGACTGATGTGGAAAATTGCGGCGACATGACTTGGACGCATGAGCCCAATGATTCGTTTAGATTGGCAAGCAAGGTGATTATGATAATAGCCTCGTGTTCTGTGCGTCTAGTGAGGGAGTTTTGCTATGAAGCAGGTTTAAAACATTCCATCACGCGCATCTCTGCAACTTCGAGGAAGACGTCATCCCCACACACACATTAGATCCACCTCAACTGTGCTGCAGCTCCACTACAATGACAGCGCTCATTCCAAACACCACACCCATTCGAACATTTGAAGATCACGGGGATCGTGTTGTCGCAGTCGCAGTTTTCAATTCCTCCTACGGCGAACGGATGGTCACGGGCTCGTATGACGGGATGCTTCGTCTGTGGGATTTAAAAACAGGTTTAGTGTTGAAGAAGATGGAGGGGCATCACAGTCGGGTGCGGGCATTGGCTGTTTCACCAGATGGGCAGTGGATAGCAAGTGGTGATGAGAAGGGAGAGCTCATTTCCTGGCATAGAAACACCGGGGAACTCAACCAAACATTCAATAAAGCCCACAACGGCTGGATTCATTCGCTTGATTTTTCTTTGGATTCCAGGATGCTGGCCAGTGGATCATCTGACACCACCACGAAATTATGGATCACACAGGACAGGTTTAGGTTGAAGGAGGCCCAACATTCAATCAGCTGTCGTGGAAATGTCCGCTGTGTTCGGTATTTGGTATCCGGATATCTTGTGATTGCAACAGACCACAATATCCAAATTTACCAGAACTCCCGTTCCTGTTTCACGATGACCGGTGGCGACTACTCGCTCGCATGGACGCCAGATCGCAACTGGCTTTTCTCCGGGGGCAACGGGGCTGATCCCGTCATACGAGAGTGGAATATATCGACCTGGGAGCAGGTCGGTGATCCCTGGAAGGGTCATTTCAAGAATATCTCCGCCATTTCTGTGAACTCTAGCGGTACCCTCCTTGCCTCCGCATCTCATGACAATCGTGTCCGCCTTTGGCGACTCTCAGATCGACGAAACATCGCCATATTCAAACACTCTGGGGAGGTGAACTGCGTCACGTTCTCCACGAATGGCAAGCACGTCCTCAGTGGAGGTGTGGATAAAAAGATCTCAGAGTGGCCAACACCCGAGGATGTTTTGCCAGAGGACGGACCAAAAGATGGCCTCATGAAGGAGCAGGCGACGCACCAGGTAAACTTGTTTTTATTTTCTCGCCCATTCATCATCTAAGCGTCTTTTTTGCGCCAAGCATCAAGTCCACTCTGGTTTCAAGGCATGTTCCCACCTTTGACTCTTGTAACACAGTGTGAACATGATTTACGCAGGTCCTCGCTATGAACTCGACAGTCCGCAACGCATGCATAACTGGGGACTGGCGTACTGCTGAAAAGGTGCTAAATCTAGATATTGACGCTGATACCAACGATCACACTGCCTATGCCAATCGCGCATTTGTTATGGCACGAAAACACGACTGGAACCGAGCACTTCAAGATGCAATTCGGGTGAGATTGACTGACCCATCATGACCTACTTACAAAAGTTGTCTTCGATGATGGTATAGTCCGTCAGCATTCAGCCATCGTTGGCAGGCCATATCTCTAAAGGGATTGCCCTCTGCGGAAAAAAGCAGGTTCTGGCCGCGAGGATCCCGTTTGACCTCGCATCCATGTTCACGGATGGAGACTTAAAGACAGACCACTTCCTTTTCTTGATCAAGGCAGGTCATATTTTTCTCACATACTCCGTGCGTCATTTCGGTTTTTAGACTATTGCGCTGTTCAATGCAAATGAACACCAAGAGGCAATGCTTCGTATACGAGAGCTAGCTGCATGTCCCGATGTCGATCCTATTGCTTGTCGTATCGTGGAGGTGAGCTCAATCACATCAAGTTCATGTGTTGTCATTGATTCTTGCCCCTCGTACACCAGGCCTACCTACGCGTCCAACTAGGAAACATTGCCTTGGAGGGCGCGCGCTATAATGAGGCCGTTGAACACTTCACTGCCGCTGCCATTGCTAGCACTTTCTTTTATAAATCGCCAATTCATTTGACGTACGATGAATTTGTTGTGGTACGCTGATATGATGCAACCGAAAATCCTTTCGTGCTCAAACGCATGTTTTCAACAGCTATTTGGCTGGGACCTTAAATCCTTGTGGCAAACTGCGAACCAGCAACAGTGCTATGCACTCTTTCGAGCAGGTAGTTTTGGGGCAGCCGTCGAATCGTATCAGTCCATGGTTGATAAGATTGATGAGGATATGGAGGCCGACTTACATGCGTGGTTCGCTGGTAAGCATTCGGTAATGTCTCCTTGTCTCTCCGTCTTTAATCATCAACTGCACTTTACTCAGCTCTCGAGTAAAATTGAAACACACTCTATTCTTCCCATGGAGATGGTGCGCCTGCAACGAACGGTTGCTCATGTAGGTTGAAACACAGAGATTCTAGAGTGGTTTTCATTTCTACCTTCATAGTCCTTGGTGTTCGTCCATGTCAGCATATACCGGCCTACTTGAACATGTTTACACTATGTTTCCGAGTATCTCTACTTTTACTTGTAACAATGCGGTTGGTGTCATACGAAATTGATGGTGCGGCAACGGCGCCTGGCGCCTATTTAAAGTTATCATGCCCTGACGCCTAATATCCACCACATTTCTTGATGGATGGTCCTGACCACATACAGTCATGACCCAGCAAGACCTAGATCTGCCTGACCTAAACTGGTCGATATTGCGGGACGCTACCACCTGTCTCACTTGTTATTTTGCGACGGCGCTCAACAATTGGTGTTAGTTTTCGCTTCTTTTTCACTGCTCATCGCTCATCGCTGAAACAAAACCTATGCACTCTTCTCTAGCAATCAGACATCCGTATATCACAGCTATAACTCTGATATACATCTCTGACAATCCTGAACTCCTCCTAACACCATTGCGGATTGCGCGTTATATGTGCTTCCTCCCATTTCGGTTAATCCTTTGGCCGTTCAAGCTCTTGACCAGATTCATCCTGTACATCGTCGGTTTTAGAAGACAGGGTGTAGCAAAAGGTACGTCTGCAATCACAGCTGTAGTAGCCACAGGACTTGTCTCATTGCGGCATCAAAGGTTCATACGCATCCCGAATCCAATCCCGTCGTTATGGTGGCTATGTACCACCGCAATCTACCTTTTCAAAATTCCAGGCGCATGGGGCTACTGATGATTACGAGGACGAAGATGAACCGGAATCAACGTTTGCGACTCCCGTGTCTTTCATGGCGGGTATTGGAGTCTGGTTTGTCTTGGGTAGGGCATGGGGATGGTGGTATTGATGCGACGAGCAGTAGTGTGGATGTTATATGGTGCGAGTTGAGTCAGTACCAGCGCTCCAACATGGAATATACTCGTGATGTATTCATTAATACAACTTACAAGCATGAGGCATGTTCGTCTACTCAGCAGAACGACGTGTGTTCTGTCAAGAGCAGTTGATAGCGTCCGTCGGACCACCCGGACATGACGACAAGTAGTGCTGCCGCGGTCCGGTCCAGAACCACGGTTCGAACCGGACTTTTGGTCCGGTTCTCTGTGGTTCGGTCCATGGTTCCCTCACCAGCCAGAACCGGACCGGAAAACGGTTCTGGGTTCTGGACCTTCACTAATGGTCCGGTTCTGGTTCGACTTTCCCGAACCTTCCTGAACCGTTCCTTGACTTCGAATTCCCTCAACTTCGACTTCAATAACGACGACGTCGGTGTCCATGTCGACATCAAAGCATCGTCTTCGAGATTTGCATTATTTGTTAATCGGGCTACTGTTAGCCTTTTTGAAGGTAAGTACTAATCAATCTACTCTCAAGAACTCTTACTGACTGACATATGTTCACCTATATCACAGATATCTACATGTTCTAGTCTATATGCTTCCTGGATAAGCATGATCCTCCACCGGTTGTCATCTCTAACAGATCTCCTTGGATATTGTTGCTCTGTGGTGTTAGGGTCTCCTCCACACATAAAACGAGGTGCTAACAAAAAACTTGTGAGTTATTTGCCTCATGATGTCTGAAGACTGCTGCGCTCTGAACGCTGACGGCACCCTTAAGGATGCTTCTGAAATTACCTTCTTTAACGATCCTGACGATGAAGTACCATTGCCCCAACCATCCTCTTCCACTACATCCGCAAAGGACGCCTTCTCCATTCTGCTCAAGGCTGGACGCACCCCAGCAACAGTTGCAGCTGGATCTAGGCGCTCTGGCCGGCCCTCAAAACCGTCAGCTCGTATTCGCGATGTGGACAATGCCTGCGGTCTGTCTTCGTCAACTAACCCAAGGAAACGTGCTTTATCCAGCGCTACGGATCATCCACCACGCAAGAAAACTGCCATGCGAATCTTATCTCCTCTTGACTCCGAAGATGAAGAAATACCCTCTACACCTGATCTGGGAGAGTCGTCTGCTGACGAGCTGATCCCCCAACCAGAGGTCGACGATGAAGTTGATGAATCTAAATCCGAGAACGGGTGCACCACTACTGTATGTACTCGTTTATTGTTTTCCTTGAGTCTCAACTAAGACCTGTATTTAGCTTGCGACGCTATCATGGAACGTCAAGCTACAGACCATCGCACGCGCGATCCTCATCAAGAGCTCTCCGCATACCTTACTTCACCATTGGAGGAGACGGATGACGTTGTCGCGTGGTGGGGTGTAAGTCAGCCCTCAAATTCATTGTTCCCCGCTTACATCCTTGATCAGTTACATTCAATGCAATATCCAACGCTAGCTTGTGTTGCGCGTGATTACCTGCCCATTCAAGGCAGTGCAGTCCCATCGGAACGCGCTTTCTCCAGTGCGGGGATCACATCGACTCTGCGCCGCAACGCCCTCGCGCCATCCACATTCTCCGCGCTACAATTAATGAAGGCAGCCTATAAGAATGGTCATGTGTCAGCGGCAGTAGAGGCAGAAGAGTACGCAGCTGGTGTGTCATTAGCCTAGCTACCCAATGTCATGTAGATGTATTGTGAATGTTTTTCCTTGCTGCTTGAAAATTTGCGGTTCGGTTCACGTTCGGACCGCAAAAAAACCGAACCGGACTGTTAAGAACCGTTCTTGATGGTCCGGTTCTGGGTTCGACAATTTTGTAGAACCGGACCATGGTCCAGTTCTCGGTTCTCGTCCAGGGCCCTCTGAACCGGACCGAACCGGACCACGGCAGCACTAACGACAAGTGGCATATATATATCAGAGACATTTTGCAGTACCTGACTCCTTTTCCCCTTTTCTCAACCTTACTTAAGACGTTGAATATCCGTCAACGCACCTCAGTCCGTTTCCCCGTGACTGAGGTGCGTATCGTTAGTTTCCTCTTTGTTATATCATTGTACTCACTACATGTACACATAGGCTCGTGTCTAGGTTCGTAGCGATACATTAATATAGTCCGTTTCCCCGTGACTGAGGCTCGTGTCTAGCTCTCACCTCTTACAGGTTATGAGCCCTGCATAAAGGATAGCGGCACTATCTTACATCTCTCTTGCTCAAACTGGCATTTCTTGAAACGCCCGTTTCTCCATCGCAGTTCCTGACCGGTTCAGACCAATATCAAAGCTGTCACCCCTCATTGACTATATATCACCTCTAATATTACCATGACGACATCTTCGGACACTCTCCCGAAAACTGAAAAGTACCCGCACGAGAAGCTTACCCTCGATGGCTCTAACTATTCTCAATGGGCTACTGGATTCAAAATGTGGGCCGGTGGGCTCGGACTATGGCCCTACATCAGCGGAGATGAGAAGGAGCCCTCACCCCCTGCACAACTCACTGACCCAGACCAGAACATCCTTCGGAAGGAGAAGCACGATGAATGTGTGAGGTTGTACAAGCAGCGCCGGCTACTTGCCCTCAGTGCGTTGTCCACTGCCATAGACGCCCAGGACTTCGTGTACCTTTGTGACACAGAGGACCCGAACATAGGCTGGGAGGCTCTGGCCGGAAAGTACTTACCCCAGAAGGCTATCCATTTCAACCAGTACCTTGATCGGCTATCCACCATCCCGAAGGCACACGACAGCACCTCCATTGCTGAGGTGCTCCAGAGCCTCGTTGTGCTAAAATCTGACCTCACGGCCCTCTCTATTAGCCCTCCAGCGGCTGCAGCAGCAGCCACAGCCATCAGTAAATTCACACATTGCTTGAACTTCCTTTTTTGCAACTTGCTGCCGGGTAATTCCAAAAAAGGAGCGGAAAAGTCATTCATAAGAACGGTGACACCAACTTGCCATCAACTTGCCACAAGGCAATTTAAGTCGAAAAAGTAGATGCCTCCTCTTGACTTCGACTTTTTTCAAACTTTTTGTTGGCTTTTTTGGCACTTATTTGTAAAATAGCCCACATTGCAAGTAGTGCAAGTTGGGGCTACTTATTTCACACTTGTTTCGACAAAAATGACAAAATATTGCATTCAAGGATAATTACATGATAGGACTACTAAGTACTAGTGGGGAAACAATACAACTACTTGTGGCAGTGGCGACTAGATGCAGAAACGAACTCAAAGAATGGGGAGCCAGCAGCAGCAAATTTTGAAGAGGGTGAAAGGTGGGATGCGAGGAATGAAAGGCGGCATACAAGGCAGACGGCACATGAGGCAAGCGGCAGACTGCAATGAAGCAGACACTATTAATAAAAGGAAGTAAAACAAATGAAAAAAACTTACTTGGAGGTATGCGAAAGGACAGGCGAAGTTTGGACACTGAGGCAAGCGAACATTATTAGTCAAGGGAAATTTAAAAAAAATGAAAAAAAACTTACTTGGAGGTACATGAAAGGACGGGCGAAGTTTCAGATGCTGAGGCAAGCAGACATTATTAGTAAAAGAAAATACAACAAATAAATAAAAACTTACTTGGAGGCCATGCGAAAGGATGGGCGAAGTTTCAGACACAGACATTTTTAGTAAAATGGAAAAAAAAACAAATAAAAAAACTTACTGGGAGGTGTGCGAAAGGGTGCGAGACCATGAGAGTGAAGTTTCAGACACTGAGGTATGGAGGTATGTGAGATGATGCATGGAAGTTAGATTGAGAGTCAGACAAGGTTGAACGTTAACGTTGAGAGTGAACTTCGTGTGAAAAACTGACGTGGTTCAAATATGACACGTGACGCGTGATGGTTCACAGCGCTCATTTTTGACAAATCCTGAAACTGCATGCGCCCATCTTTGTCATACTGACTTTAGCTTCATGCAGATTGAAGGAATCGGTTTGTATAGTTTGGGTTTGGGTACTGTACGTGCATCTATCAATTGTTCTTTCAATTTTTGCTAACTGCAGCCCTCCACACACCCCCCGGCACATCTCTCGCATCCTCCCAATCCAACCATGCCCAACTGCACCCTCCAGCACCCATACCTGGCGCCCTCCAGCACCCTCCTTGTTCGAGTTCGAGCCACGCTGATCCAAGTCATTGCCACCGCTCACAGGAAGTGAGTGTGTCGATCCTCGTTTGAGCAAGACCCATGCTGATCTAAGTCGTTTCCTGCTGTTCACAGTTCATGAGTCTGTCGATCCCCCTTCGAGCAAGACCCATGCTGATCCAAGTCGTTTCCTGCCATTCGCAGTTCATGAGTCTGTCGATCCCCCTTTGAGCTCAAGCCACGCTGATCCAAGTCATTTCCCGCTGTTCACAGTTCGTGAGTCTGTCGATCTCGTTATTGTGTTGCTACTACTGATATACATTGTACCTACACCCATATGTCTAGTACATGAATACATGGGTCACGAGTTACTACCTGCCGCGGGTTACATACCAAGTTGAACTACTTATTTACTTGCTGTACTTATTTCTGTTTCGAATACTTGAACTGACTTTTTTGATCTTATGCTACTTTTCGGCACTTGTGTGTCATACACTTCCTTTTTTGACTTGTGAAAACAAACAGCCAAGTGAATAAAGGTGAATAAGTGTCAATAAGTTAAAAATAAGTTTTAATTTTCGAAAAAAGGTCTGCCAAGAAATGTGTGAATTTACTGATGGCTGTCCCAGCTCTGAACGAATACAAAGTTCCGGATGCCATATTTGTCCACATCCTGCTACGTAGTGCTGCCGTGGTCTGGTTCGGTCCGGTTCCGAGGGTCCTGGACGAGAACTGAGAACCGGACCGTGGTCCGGTTCTGCAAAATCTTCGAACCCCGAACTGGACCACAGAGAACTGTTCTCTGTGGTCCGGTTCGGTTTTTTTCTGGTCCGAACTCGAACCGAACCCGAAAATTTTCAGTGGTGAGCGTGAAAAAAAAATCATTGAAAGACTAGTTTACACATCAAGTAGCTACTCCAATGACATGGCTACATATGACTGTAGCCGCTGATCCAAGAGCTAACTGATTCGATCTATACAAATGGTGAGAATGAAATAAAACACAATAACAACCAATGCTTACCGTCGATGTTAGTGGGTAATGTGAACCTGCGGCGTCTGATCCAGACAAGCAATTTGAAGTAAGCTGCCTTGTAAGGCACGCATCAGTGAGAGTGTTTGCCAGAATTGAAATCATTTTACCTCCGTCGTCAGCAAAGGAAGACATTCAGGACAATGAGAGAGGTACGTGTGGTTTGAGTTGCGCCTCCATTCTCAGATGTTGCCGTCACCTTTTTTTATACACAGAACAGGGAGAAAACACCTGCACGTCTCGAGTGAGAGGTGGCGGGTGAGAGACAGTGGGGTGAGAGACAGTGGGTGAGATACAGCTAGCACGCCGAAGAGAGATAGTATCACGGCCACCGGAAAAAATGCGTTCGACAGCAACAGCTGAGCCTGGAATAGCGAGAATATCACGAGCCAGACGTGAGAGGTCATTGAGGTATGTTGGGAGTGGGCAGCGCACCTTGTTCGTCTCCTCGACAACTTTCTTTCTCCCATTCCTCTTCTCCTTTCTCTTTCCCCCGGTGTCTTCCTTTCTCCTTCACCAAAGTGTCATCCGCATTCGCCTTAGCCACGCCAGCATTTGCTGGCGTGTGCTGGGCACATGTGCTAGACACTGGTTGTTGCTGGAGTGGGGTAGTGGTTGCAGCAAGTGGTGGTGGTGGTGGCGGCACGGTTGACTCAATCAGTAAATAAAATGAAAATGGATATACAAATAACTACCTTGAGGACAGAGTCTTGAGAGTTGATTGATTAGTACTAATCTTCAAAAAGGCTAAAAGTAGCCTAATTAACCAATAGTGCAACTCCTGAAGACAACACTTTGACGTCGACATAGAGACTGACGTCGTCGTAGTTGAAGTCGAAGTCGAAGTCGAAGTTGACAATGGGTTCGGGGTTCGGAATGGTTCGGGAAGGTCGAACCAGAACTGGACCATTTGGGAAGATCTAGAACCGAGAACCATTTTCCGGTCCGGTTCTGGCTGGCGCGAGAACCATGGACCGAACCGTGGAGAACCGGACCAAAAGTCCGGTTCGAACCATGGTTCTGGACCGGACCGCGGCAGCACTACTGCTACGTGCACTCCCCGACTACTATGACCCATTCCGTCAAACCCTGATCAACAGTAGCACATCCCTCGACTTCAACGACATCGTAAACCGTCTGAAGACCCAGGAACTTCATCGCACTGCAAACAGTGGTAACGCTGAACATGCTGCAATGTTCTCTGGACATCAGGGAGCTGTGAGCGGTCCTCCCAAAGCTGATCGTATTCCCCCAAAGGGTTTCGACGAGTTGAAAGGAGATGGGTGGATAGTTGGATGGCGCCCGAAGTGTGGGCATTGTGCTAAGGCCGGTCATATATGGTTGCAATGTCGTGCACGCCTCTCAAAGGACGAGAAGAACCCGAAGTCAGCCAAGCCTCTTTCTTCCCCTGCCGCTATCGCCACTAACATGGAAGTCTCTATGGCAGACCAACCTGACATAAATGCCATATCACACCCTCCATTCATTCTCTCCCTAAAAGAGCACTCTGCCAATATCTCGTCCTCTCTTACTGTGCCCACGGGCTCTCTTCATGTAGACTCTGCTTCCACGGCTCATATGGAGCCTGATATATCACACTTTGCTCACTATACAAAGCTCCATGAGCCAATCCGTGTGAAACTTGCCAACAACCATGTGGTCTTAGCTCCCGGCTGGGGTACAGTAAGACTTTCCCTGCGGTACGAGAAAACCTTGACGGACCGGGACTTCGACTTCCTCCATGTCCCTGACCTCCGGTGTACCCTCGTTTCCGTGTCGTGTCTCACGTCTGAGCATATCTCATTCATTTCTTCCTCGAAAGGGGGCATGCTTAGTGCTAATAATGGCCACGGGCCTCCTCTTGCCCATGTCCACCCCCACAACGGGTTGTATCTGCTCGATGCTACCTACGCCAACGGGAACGCTGCTGCATCAGCGATGCTTGTGAGGTCACCGTCTGTTGCCTTGTCTTTGCACACTTGGCATCAGAGATTGGGTCATGCTGGTTTCTCAACGGTACTGAAAGCTAGTGAACATGCTGACGGGATCTCCATTGACCCTGCCTCTCTACTTGATGCCGGTGACGGTGCTGACTCTATCTACTGTATGTCGTGCCTCATGGGCAAACACAAATGCTCACCCTTTCCTACTGCTGCGCGACGCGCTTCTGCCCCTGCTGAGCTCGTGCATTCAGATGTTTGGGGGCCTGTGAACATCACCTCTTCCTCTGGTGACTCATACTTCGTCATCTTCACTGACGACTACACACGCTACTCACTTGTCTACCTCATGCACGCAAAGTCCAAGGTCTTTGAGCTTTTCAAGAAGTTCGTCCCGTGGATGGAGACTCAGTCTGGAGGTCGCATCAAGCGTCTCCATAGTGACAATGGCGGAGAGTATGTATCGAAGGAGTTCCTACAGTACTTGACAGAGCGCGGCATCGAGCATGAAGTCACCATGCCCTACACGCCGCAGCAGAATGGTGTCACTGAACGCAGTCATCAGACTGTCGTAACCTGTGCCCTCAGCTGCCACCACCAAAGCGGGTTCCCTCGTTCCTTCTGGGGCTGGGCGATCCTGCATTCTGTGCACATCAAGAATGTCCTTCCCTCCTCAGCTCTTGATGGCCGTTCTCCGTTTGAGGCCTTCTATGGCTGCAAGCCCGACATCAGCTATCTCCGCCCATTCGGCTGCCTCGCCTACTCCCATATCCCTGATGACACCCGTCACAAGTATGAGTTCGTCTCTCACTGGTGCTTCTTGTTAGGCCATGTGCGCAATGCTGGCTATGTCCTATGGGATGCGTCAGCCAAACACGTCGTTCGGTCTCGTCATGTCCATTTTGACGAGTCTGTATTCTATGGTGACCCTGCCTCGTCCCCCCTACACCTGCTCGTGGGTGATGCTGACCCTGTACCTGTTGTCAGCGCTTCAGTGGGAGGTACCCCTCCATCTGGTGAGCCACCTGTGACCCCTGCTGTCACGGCTGTGCCACAGGTGTCAGTGGGAGGAGATGGCAACCCACCAGCTGCACCACCAAATGCGCCGCCAGCACCACCAGACGTGATGCCACCAGCACCACCTCCTGATGCACCAGCACCACCAGCTCTATGCCGAAGTACACGCCCACATCAGCCGACACGTCAGACTGATCTGAGCGGACCCAGCACCACGGCCATACCCACCAAACACATTCCAGTAGCTGAGCGCTGGACCTACGTCCCAGTACCCCCAGAGGCTGTACCAGAGCCGAACGAGTCCGCAATGCACACATCGACAGATGCACCTTCCATTCCTACACCTCCCTCCTCACCTTCCACTCCTACACCTCCCAAACCCATCATACCAGAATCCATCAACAAGGCACGATCCCTACCCGAGTGGCCACTATGGTCAGATGCCTGCAAGTCAGAACTGCAGTCCATGCGAGACTTGAAGACTCACCGCCTGATGCCGCTTCCAGAAGGGAGGAAGGCCATTGGATCCAGGTGGGTATTCTCTGTGAAGTCAGACGAGGATGGCAACATCACTCGGCACAAGGCTCGTTTCGTTGCGCAGGGTTATACTCAGGTTGAGGGGATCGACTACACGGAGACCTTCGCAGCAGTCGCTAAGTACGACACCATTCAAATCCTCCTTGCACTGGCAGCGAAGTTCGACCTTGAGTTAGACCAGATGGATGTACGTACAGCTTTCCTTAACACTGAACTCAAGGAGGACATATACCTCAAGCAGCCAGCTGGTTTCGAGGATCTGGAACATCCGGACTGGGTTTGGAAGCTGGAAAAGGTGTTATATGGGTTGAAGCAGGCCGACTATGAGTGGAACCAGACGCTTGACGAGTATCTGCGGAGGGAAGGTTTCAAATTTGTTCAAAGCGAGGCTGATCACAGTCTGTACGTCCTCCATGAAGGAGACAAGGTTATTTGGCTCGTCGTATACGTCGATGACATGCTCGCCGCATCGAATTCTCGCGACTACCTGAACTCCTTCAAAGTACGACTCAAGCAGCGCTTTGATCTTGCAGATCTCGGCCCTGCTAGACACTTCCTCGGCATCATCAGGTAACCGACTCGACTACAATAATTTCTTAGCAAGCTTTAACTGATCTAAAATCTGCACAATATTCATCATAATTGTACCCCATATGAAAAAGCTTTATATACCCGGACTTAGTTGGATGGAACCCACCAAATCCACAGTCGTGACAGTCTAGTCGCAATGGCCTGTCAGCTTGCCACCAAGATTGTGCATATTGCAACACCTACCTGCCGTGACAACTGAAAGGTTCAGTTGTCGAGAGCGACCACTGTCACCTAGTTGATGACCAGCAGCAATACACCACATTTATGCCCTGCCCTGATCATGCCATGTAATCTTTGATTGTTTTTATTTCCTGCGAAATCTCTGAACAGATGTCAGTGACGGTTAAAATTTTACATGGCCGGACTATATTGGACCAACACTGCCTACAACCCAAGAGTGTCGAGTTTCTACGATGAATCACTAAGCTATGTCAGTCCGGTTTCCTTATGCAAGGGAGCTTGCCATTGCACCGTCGACAAGAATTTACTTGGTGCTCACGTTAGGTATGACATCGTGATGCTGGCCTGCGTTGCTCATATCTGCGAAGTACATAATTCAGGCTACAAGCGGCAATGCGCTATTGAACCAGCCAATGTTGATGGCATATGATAGCCATACACAAAGTCAGTTGTTTGTTTTGTGCTCTGCATTCTCTGTCTAGATGCTGGAACCTTCCAAGGCCAGACTGTTTTGGATGGGGGCTGCCTTCAGTCCCAAGGTGCGGAGGTATGACAATGCGGTGCCCTCCGTCAGCGATTACTTAGTTATGGCCATCATATGTAAAATGAGCGAACCAAGAAAAAAATTGCAAACACTCCTTGAACGACATCGTCAGACAGAATCTTCGAAAGCTTGGCTGCATCATGTCAAAGGTGCCATGGCGCTGGTACTGGCAATTCAGTCCCTTCTATCACTATGCAGGCAAACTATAGTGATCCCATGCAATGTTAGCTTGTTATTTCCATCCATCCAAGTGCAAGCATAATGTTTGGCCGCTGCAAAACACGATCTCATTTTAAAACAGGTTGTCATGAGGTCGCATGTATATTGATTATGAACAGACAATAGTATAATTAAAACTATGAATGGATGTTATCCAGAACTGCAGCTCGTTTGAGGGCAATGCACCTTTGTCGGATCTTGGATAAGGTGCTGTTGGCGCTGATAGGTCTTCTGGCGGCAGAGGAAGCAGGAAAAATTTGACTATGGAACATATCAGCCTTCGTGACATGATGAAAGTGAAAGGTGACAAAAATACCGATTTCACCAGGTCAGCAGCTTGTCAACTTCCTGGGATTCCTCAGGGTCTTCTAAGAGGTCTAGAAGGCTATGGTAAAATGTCTCGGAGTCTGTGGTTGTGTCGGTCTGTGAGAACACTGAGGATGAGCTGAGAGCGAATCGCACCTTCAGCGATATGTTAAAATGGTTCCGCTGCAGAAGCATGATGCTCGACGAACCTGAGTGGCAATATAGGCTATGGAGGCTATGGTGACAGAATTCATTCCATGGAGATGAGCATTCCCGGATCGCATGGCCTTCGGCTCCTTGTCAACCGAACTCGGAGACGTGAAAACATGCTTATAGGCCTGGTGCAATACCGTGTAGTAAATAGATTATGTGAAAAAAACGGACGCGCACTCACACATGTCAGCAAGCGGCTCCTAAGAAGACCGGACCACGGATCTTCAGGATCATAGACGTGCTGGGCGTACAAAAAGATGGGCCACTGATCCCCACAAACAAGCATCTCGCCACTTCGGAGGTTCTCTTTGGTCCTTTTTGATGTAGAGAAGTACAAAAAGCATTTCAGGGCTGCACAAATGTTGGAAGATCGCAACATACTGGGGGTCATTCCAATCCAACCCAGCGGGACAAAGAAGTGATCCCGTAAGTTCGTGATTAAAACCACGGTCAATCTTGGAATTTCTGTGTAAAGGGGGCTGTATCGCTTCTCCTTTCAGGGAAATCCAGTCAAGGATCGCAGATTTCAACGTCTTTGTATCGTCGCCTCTAGCGCCTGCGGCTCCCTTGCCGACCTGTAGATTATAAGAACTCTCTCTCTTGCTACACTGAAAAAAGCGTACCAGCTCTCCTATGTGAAGGATATCTTCCTCAGATCCACCTTTCAAGCGCTCCAGAAGGCCAGGGTAGGAGTCCAAGAGCTGCTCAAAGACACAATGTTCTCGTTGTTCTCTGCCAAGCACGTCAGTCATAAGGCGAATACCAAATGCACAAATACTCATTCACTCAGCAGGAAAGTCCTCCTAATGGGGTATCCTCCATTTGCTCAAGTCTCAAGATACCGTTGGTGAGTAGGGAAGGGTAGTTGCATAACGCAAATACCGTTCGACCAAAGTGGCGTCCGTGGAAGACAAGTGGATCAGATGAGGAGCTGAGGGATGGAATGAGGCTATGTAGCTTGTGGTCAACATGGGGACTACTTACGCCTTTTTCGAGGAGCCATTGATAAGGCCAATGAGCCGTGTTTGCTCGGGATGCTGGAGGTGGCGTCCTGGATGGTCATGAAAGGAAGGAAGTGTATCCCAGGTTTCGCAAATAGACCGGAAGTAGCTTTGATCTCTAGGGCTTGCTATACGTAATACCCAGGGAAGCTGGCGGCCAGCGGTGGCTGAAATGAATGATGGCAAAGAATGGCCATAGGATAATGACAGCAGAAGCTGGCCACGGTAAATGGCAGCCAAACAGTGGCCAGGCGATCTCGGCCCAACTGTCAGCTGTGTACCACAACGTGTCAACCTTGAGCTAGGATAGAGAGTTTGTAAGTTGATGATTAGAAGAAAACGGGGCACGCCATCATGAAGTGTATAGCTCCCTCTGCATTTGCTCGTTGCAGCTCGCCACCGGTAGAATACGCTCACCTAAAGCTCGATATGCCACAATCCGGGCGTCAAACCTTAAAACTGCGAGGACGCAGTATCGACTTGAACCTACGGCAAGCCAGATAACATCCACCTTGTGTTGAAACATCCTGACAGCTTTACTTAGAATCGAGTTAGTGCATGGTGCTACTGAAAGCGGCGAAGAACTCGCCATAAACATGACCAGCCGTTCCCGAAGCTCATCATGGAGTAGTGAGGCGAGTGTTGATGCCACATTGTGGAACGGCGGGGCTCCTCAGCCTGCAAACGAGCACGAGAAAGACAAGGTAGACTCCATGGCCAAGCTGAAAGAGCGACTGCAGCTGGCGGAGAAGATCAACTCAAGGCTGGAACAGCTGTATCAAAAGTATAGACTTCGTTGGTTGGAGGAAAGCTATCGGGCAAGGGTATTGGAGGAATATGCACCGGAAGGAGTCAGCACTTACCCTCCACATCAGATCTCATGGAATGCTCCCTCTCCTGCTCAAAGTACGTCAAAAACACGTTTCCGTGAAGCAAACTGACCATACCGTTCAGGCAAATACTGTGACAATGCCGAGGTTCAGGACCAAGAGTAAATGCAGAGGGTGATCGTGCTATTGTTCAACGCGGTGAACTACGATCTGTAGCATCTCCCTAATTCATTAGTCAATGTCTCAAATCAGGTGATACAAATGTACCTCATCATAGAGGTGGAACCCGCAAGATAGGCAAAGCCCGCGAGCACGAATTTTGCATCGGTATGGGCGATTGGTAACATCTATGAATATCGCTGGATCAGTGACGCCCAAACAGAATGTTGAAGTCTCACGTATGATGCGAGGTAAGGAGTCTCAACTTGAATAGGCTGAGCTTGATCATATCTTGTACTCGATCTGCTCTCCAGCCCCACGATGGAGGCTAACATGCTGGAGTAAAATCAACGATCCTGTTCAGGCACTTGCACTGAAATACTGGATGAGTTTCTCTCCGTTCCAATTCCCAGATCATTCGCAGCACCCCATGAGCAGCAGGATGTTGAGGACTATGCAGCCTGAGTCACGAAGGTATGCACGCGTCGTGATGTATGAATGAAAACTCCGACCGAATTGATCCGAGCGGCTGACACGCCCCCAGACTGTCCATCACGATTAGGTAGACTTTCTGGTCAATTCAGTCAAGCCAACGTCCAGAAGAATTGCTTACCAGTAGAACACCGCAACTTCACGTCACTTCTGGTCCCAGTCTCTTTCAAAATCTCTGCCCTGACCATGCCGTGGCAGTCTTCTAGTATGAGCTCATAGTACAGATTGTTGGGGAAGGGGAGGGGGAGATAGTGGTGAACAAGACGAAGGTAGTATGTGAAGGCACTTTATCAATATCTGAGTTACTCGAAGATAGTTAAATTAGCTTCAAGTTGAGATTCCTGCTAATAGAAGCGAAAGTTGACTCAGCCCATTGCATATTGAGTTTTGTTACTAACGGCCTCCAAACGGCCTCCACTGTTACACTGTTTACACACTACTGTTTCATATGGTTGATACAATGCAGAATACAAGGCAAAAATAATTCATGAAGGCTAGGGCGCCGGTGGGAGGGCCAAAAAAACAATTCCATGCGAAAAAAAAAGATAACATTATAATCCCAGTCCAGAGTCCAGACTACTCAGTTGACATCATCGAATGTCGAAGTCTTCACAATTTCCAGTCTTCATAGTCTTCATAGCCCTCTGAACCATCGTCAACTTCCTCGTCCTCGTTGTAACAGTGCACTGCCTTGCATAGAGGTCTTCGAATGGTTCTGTCGAGGGGTGTTTTTGAACCTGCTAGGGCATCAATTAATGGAAGGGAATATGATCGGCTTGTACCTACTGCTGCCACAGAGATCAAACCCATGGGCATTTTCAATGGCCACGTTATAGAGTTCAATTTCAGCTTCGGTGCAGCGCGTCTTGGACTGCAGGATTAGTAAATCCAGCCCAAGGTTGCGCAGATAGGTGTTATTGTGCCTGGTAGCGAGGGACATCGTCATCAGTTCTGCCTGCATGTTCAGTTCTTCTTGGAATGCATTGTAAAAGGCCTCTTGGACATCGGTGGTGACCCATGTGCTCGAGAGGGGTAATGAGGGGCTAATGCACTGTAGAGATGCAGTGAGAATAGCTAAGCAGGTTGTCGCGTTACTGACATTCAAACTGATGGGCGCTTGCCTTTCTTCCTGCGAGGCGAACCAAATTTCAGATTCTGCAACTGAAATGAGGTGGGTATCGTCCCTCGTCAACCAAGCCTCCCACATTCCTCATGTTGTTATCGAGCAGGCCAAAGGTGCACAGGGTAAAGGTGCACAGTGTGTTGGTACAACTGTTTGCCATGAGTTTGGTGGGGAAGGCCTGATGACATGCCTAGGTCGAATGCCAAGACGCGCTACGCATAGCAGGAGGGTTTAGACCGTACATTCACATGCAATTTGAAAGAAGCTCACACATCCGATGTTGCTCCAATAGTTCGATAGCCTGACTGTATAAAGACACCTCCATCTGACACCGCTTCTTCCTCTCATCCATGAGCATTTGCTCTATGGTTGCATGCCTTTCGTCGTCCCTACTGGTACAGGTGCTCTGATGTCTTCGCAGAATTTCCTCCTGCGTCGCCTCTATACTGCGCTCCCCGACTAATTCCCAAAGATTGCCAGGATAGACGCGATCTTTCAGCAAGAATGACAGGACGTATAGTTCTGTCCGGAGCTGTATGTTATCTTTTTTTTTAAAAAAAACACAAGGGCATGAAACTACCCAACCGACCTTCTGGCTTGCTATGAATCCTATGTAGGTATCTAAAAATTTATTGCCTAGTGCGTTTGAGAGCTCGAAAATGCTCGCGCGAGCACTTGAGTAATCAAATACCTCCGGTGAAAGGCAGGTTGACATGATGAATGTACAGTGCAAAGCACGCAAGGCGTGGTGATACTATTTATTCATAAACGGGGATTGAACGCCTGAGAATTGCGGAGACGCGGATGCTTTACTGGTTAGAAGCTCTGGCCATCAAAAACTCTGGCCATCAAACTCACTGGCCATCAAACGCACTGGCCGTATCAACAAGAGTCAAATAGTGTCGTCATTATTTCATTATTCAGACTCACAAGTGACACTGAGTGCACCAGATGCGCAGGACCTACATAGAAGATTGTATAGTCACATGTGCTGCGAATCAATACACGATCATATATACACCTAGAGATGTATCCTGAGACAAAGACGGAAGACCTAAGTTCACTGTAAGCATGTAAAAGGTCATACTAAAAGTGCAAGGGAATTGGTGGGCTAAGGAGACCAAGCCCGACCTGCCAAATGATAGACTCGTGGGCAAGATGAGTGACGTACTTGCTGAAACAGGAGAGTGGGGAAGGGTCGTTGTAAATCGAGGGACTTCTTAGACGAGATCTAGAACTGACCTAAGAAGCTGAGTTATTAGTACATGCATTACGACTATGGCCAACTTTAATACAAAGAATGCATCTCGAACACACGAATGTGTATCGATTCAGTGTATGCAAAAGACAAATGGTGACCTTATCCAAAAATGCGGTAAAGGGTCAAATGCAGGCTGCCAAGCAAAACTCACTTGTTTGCATCACTAACGCAGGGTTCGGTTGAAACGTGGGTCTGTGGGGCGGAGTATCTTCGGGTTACATACAGCCGCTGAGGGGGTGCTGCTTCGAGGTTCTCACTTGCGCCCAATGTGAAGTATAGATCAGACAGATTTCAAAGCTATCTTGAAGGCTCGGAGAGCCAATGAGCAAACCTGGATGGAGAATGGGAACGTGCTTGATAAGGGCGGCGGGTAGCAGGCACGAAAGAGCCATCGGGGGACGAAAAAGTTATGAGGAACGTTGAGAAGAACTGTCTGTGCAGTGTGCATGCTGCACAACTATAGCTGACATAACAAAACTCCGACCAAATTGAGCCGAGCGGCTGACACTGCACTACCGGAATCTGTGACAGACTTGTTCCCCAGACTGTGTTTATAATACAAATGTTCTGTTACATGTTACATGTCATAGCTGGCTGGTTGGTAGTAGTACAGTGTACAGTAAAAAATTGGTACAAGAACAGAAGGAACACTACAGCCTAAGCACCTGTGAAGTATGATTCGGGTACATCCCATACTGATCTGAGAGACTTTTCATAGGTAAAACCACCATTATTCGGAACTTCGCCGAACACGTCCATGCTAGCATCATTAGTATTTGACTGAGTGTTGATATCGACAACGTCCAACATTCTCCTCCTTCTTGACCTATTCGAGACGAATCCCGGGCGTTGCGACTTGGGCTCGATGGGCAGGACGTTACGCTCCCTGAATGTAGATTGTAATGAACACATGATGCCTAAACGGCAATGCAGCATACGAAAAAGAATACTCACGTTAGGAAGGGAAGGGCCATTACCGCGCCTCTGAAGTCGGGATACAGGTGGGGCTGTGCATACATCTCGTCCAAGGCCGACATAATGATGACGTGCATTATGTCTGGTGTATGATAGTCGATGTTGCTCGGGTTTATTTCCTTCAAGACCACAGTCATGGTGCTGTAGATCTGAATTATCGACGCGGCGTTTATTATTTCGATAAGCAAGGACAGAGGGAAGGGGAGCTTATGAAGGTTAAGAGGTTGCACACCGGCTGTTGCGCCAAGCACTTGAACTTTGAAAGTATCTCTTCTGGAAAGAGATCCGCTACCCTCCCATTGCGGCCTTCATCTCCCAACCCACTGATCGGATGGAGTAGGGATGCCCACAGGAGCTCTCTGAAAAGTTGCTCCACTATAAGTTCTGAAATGGCCTGTTGCACCTGAAGAACGAAAGGTAAGGTTAAATTGAGCTAGTGCAGTCTCCGGCCTCATACTTGATAGCGCTTGTCAGAGTTCAAAAGCGAAACGAAGTAGTTGATTCTTTCTTCCATATTGTGCACTTGGCAAAAATTGGTGTACGCTGACATCGCACCTTTGATCACCTTCCTTAGCTCTGCCTTCACATTATCAAGGGTCTTAGCCAACTGCTTTTATTAGTTAGGAAGTGAACAAAGATAAGAGAGGCATACATTCACGCGGAATGCTTTCCATCCTACAGAGACGGTCTGTCCATCCTCAATGACAATCACTGGCCAAAATGTTAGCGACTCATTGTGCCTAGGATGCAAGGCGCCCACCTTGCTGTGCGAGCATTTCCTCATAGCTGGTGTTTATCATATCAAGCGCGATAAGGAAGCTGTTGGTGATCAAACGCCTTACGTCCGCCGGAGAGACACTGAGTGAGTCTCTATCCTGCCCTATCCACAAAGCTCCCATGAAGAGCCACCTTGTCAGCAGCACGATACGTGGCCAAAGGGATTGCTTCATTTCACGGTTAAGGGTCGATCTTTGTGACTGGTTTAAGTTAGTCCACTCGCTAGCGTTCTTGTCTCTCCATTGCAGATCAGGATGAAAGTTGTTGAGGACTGGCTGCTTGTAAGATGCTTCTATCAGTTCATTTGACACTGGCCATGTTGACTCGCTGACGCTGCTGATAGATGTGGTAGTAGATAACCCCCAGTGTTGGTAGCCAAAATCCAAGTCCGCGTTGGACATGGGCTGGAGGTCAATGGTAGAGAATGCATCGGAGGACAGGGGTGTATCTAAGGGGTATGTCTTGACAATATTTGAGGAGGAGGCCTGGGCCTCGGACGTAGATTGTGCTGTTGGGGTGGCAGTGGGATATGCAGGGGGCGGATAACCATACGGAAATGGTGCAGGGTGGAATTGAACTGATCTTGCCCGTAAGTTTTCGAGCTATCGATGTAACACTATAAATGCCATATAAGAGTGTTAAGAACGAACGACACTTACCGACCACGTTGGCAGTGGAACACCTTGGGAATTAGGTCTACAATAAGTGGAGCTGATCGCACTGATATAAGCACCACCGGCTGGCTAGGTTCTCTCTTCTAAAGGTGAACTGTCTAGCATAACAAAGCTCTCACCATCATGTGGAATAAAGCATGAAGAACAAGCTGAGTGGTATCCGCCTCCTCGAGAATCAGCCACCCAATCTGGTAAAGTTGATGAAGCCAAGGTTGACCCTGCTTTAAAGCGGTGTCACACTGGAATGAATACGATGAGATGGGATCATTGGTTTTGAGGAAGACTCACATAGATTGGACTGATCTGGTAGTGATCAGCTAGATATCCGATGAGGTCGTATGATCCCTTAGTCAACATGACAAATGCGTGCTGAAATTAGCAAGTTAAAAAGAAACAACGGTCGATGGGCGTTGGCGAACCTCTTCATGCTAGAGGGAGGGCCATCAGCGGATGGTCTGTAGTACAGAGTCTAGCACTTACGTTCAATTGCACAAGTTGCTGAAGAACTTCTGGTCTTTGTGGAACATATAGCCACACTGGGATCATTGATGAAACTGTATCCGGTTGGGGGAAGTGGTGGCTGATGAGGGACTATAAGTATGGCCAACGAAGTTAGTAACTATCTGTGAATTGACAACGCTGATCATCGATTAGCGAAGGCTACAATCAATTATTTTTTGGCCATTGATGGCCAGGTGATGGCCAGGAAAAACTATAGCTAGTGAGGGATCAGCCAGCATTTAGCATGCAAGCTGCGCCCTACCATATCGGTAAGAGCAACAGTCAGGTAAGAATGGCACTGAGCTGAAAATCAGCCAGTAAGTATATATTCTTCGATCAGAATAGGAGTCATCGCTGTAATGGAACATTAATTTTCGTAATCGAAGACATGCTCAACGAACATCTCATCAAGTGCATTGATGAGTGACTCCCCGCTTGTGTTCTTTCCCAGCTCAAAGAAATCCGGCTCCTCGACACCAAAATGATCGCCCTCGTCCTCGTCATCACCAGGATGGCTGACGTCCATAGGGCTTTCCTCACCTTCTAAATGTCTATCTTCCATTGCGGCGGCTATCTGGGGGTGTGGTGCTGGCCTATGACCCTCATTTAAGGACCCTGGCCTATGCGAGTATACGTGGCCTACACCAAGACCAAAATGGAATCGCATGAGCATGTCCCGATCAACGAAACTATTAAATCGTAAGTTCCGCAGAGAATTCAATGAAAATCGCTTGCCTGTTGATGTAGTATTCCTTCCAATCGTGTTTGTCTCCCCCAAGAGGGGAAATCCCAACATCTGGGTTACGCCGGCCTAGAGAGAAAGCCGGGATAATGTGACATGCCCTTAGAACATCTCCTGGGTTCACAAATCCAAAGGCGTTAGGGTTCTCCAAAGGTAGGAAGCGAACACAACCTAATGCATGCGTTTCCCATGCGTGGCTTTGGACTGATTCGTACCACCAAATGAACAGAAATTCCACCCAGCGAGCTTCGTACACGTTCTCCGCGCAAACGACATTCACATGATGGACGCCCAGGACTTTCGCGTATCGGTAGTTGCCATCATCGCCATCACTGTGCTGGAGTAGCATAACATTGCAATGAGGCGTCCTCGGGTTAATAACATCTTGAGCCCGTCGGACGTCGTACGTAGTATAATTTAATCGTACGAGGCTGTGATGATAAATTCGTCCACGCTTGAAAAGAATTGACAAATGTTCATGGTCAGAATGAGGGGGTGTCTCCAAGGAAGGTTCAGAGATCCTAATGCGATCCAGAATATGATCTTTCAAACGCGGTAGGAAGTCCTAAGCAACAAGTCAGAATGGCGACTGAGTTACAAGAAATATAGATACCTTCATAGCCGGATCTCCTGCATGACTATGGAGGTAATGGCCAAGCTCTTCAAAAAATTTCTCGCTTTTCCCAATATGATGGTGCAACTGGGGGTCGCTCGCAGTTTCGTCTGACTTCACATCAGGGGTCCGTTTTCGCTGCCGTTGCTTGATACGGCGTAAGTGTGTTTGACGGCGCTCAATCTGAGCTAGCTGGTGAACGAAGTCCCTGTGATTGGTTCGGCGGTATCTGCATTTCGGCATACGGTGTTCTAATTCTCCCTAATAGCATTTTAGTTGGAAAGCGGAAGGGTAGCACGTTGAGGACTTACTGGTTCTGTGCTGTAAGAATCTGTGGTACCAAACCGACGGATGGAGGTTACATAATCCCCCAACGCATGAAATTTGTAGGTATGGAAGTTGAACGACTTCTTCTTCCTCGGTTGCCTCAGTTGAGGCACACCCTGCGGTTGCTCCAGGTTCGCCTTCTGTTTCCCTTTAGCATCGGCACCTGACCTAGGCCTTCGAGCTGCAGCTCCCTGCCCAATGCTATCCAACGTGTATTTCTCCGCCCGTTTGGCAGTTTCTTTTGCCTGCCGATGTGATCGTGATTCAACTTCACGATCGAGCTCCTGGGTGTGATATGCATTGCACACCTTCGTCTTAAATTGATGAAATTGTTCACCGAGGTTGGTCGTTTGCTGGTCGAGAACCTGTAGGGTGAGGTCAGAATGCATACGTAATTTAGCAAGTCCATGCCAGTGGGCCATGATGAAAAGGAGATCGAGAAGGATTTTGTTGTGAGCGTTGGGGAGGAGGCCTTCAAAGACCGGGATAGAGCACTTGTACAAAATTAGTTCACAAATACCTATCGAGAATCATCCCAAAGACAAACCTGTAGAAGATCTTCGAAGTTCCGTGCAGCCATGTTGGACATTTCGGAGGTGTTGGAAGAGAACCATCTAATAGTTGCTGACCCAAATGGGGGGACTTGCCTGTACCTGTCAGAGATAGGAATGAGACACTGGGCTTTTGTTGGACACAAATTTGACACCTCTTATCAAGTTCGTGGATGAGGTTCTTGTCCAATGCGCAAAGAATTCTTAGCAGATGGAGCAGGAGCATGCGCCATACCCCAAGCTCAAATTCGTGCAGAAGATCGACCACAAGCGCAGCAAACACATTGAATCCAAATGAACTAAGGCTGTCTGACAGCGCATTCTAGTCAATGATAAGCAAAGGGGACCAACAAGACCTATGATCATGCTCACTGAGTTCGGTACCCACGATTCAGGCTTGAGAAGCGACTCGATTGCCGTACTGTCAACGCCATAATTCCTCTCATAGATGAGACTACGTGCTGCGGCAACAGGCTGACTCCTTGAGGCATAGGACCGTGCCAGTGTTGAACGTTGTTGCCGATCGCGACTCATCCCCAGATGTTGGAGCCGAACGGTTGGTATCAGACACCGTGGGCAAGGACAACCTCCCAGCTGCCAAATAGTTGCAACAAGAACCCTGACTTTGTGAGCTCGGATTTCTTATGAATAAGTTTCACTCACTTCTCAGGATAGTCCGCCGAGTATGTGAATATTCGCGGGTAGAACCTGTGTTTGATCCCATCACAGCACAGGAGCACGATCCCATGCTCATACGCCGCTAAAAACTCATCGTCAAGCAGGACCCTCCATTGAGCTTGAAATAGTTCGCGTTGGCAATGGGTCGTGCATTCCCGACCAACTCCCTTGCCTTCAGTATAGGTGCCTGTAAAGTCTTTGAACGAGTCCGGAAGCTGCCAAGATGTGAGCTTCAACATTAAGGAGGGAATCAATTCAGAAGAGGCATCATACCTTTTGAAAATAGGCCACATGGTTACTCAAGTTGCAGGTCAGTTTACAACGGCGGTATTTGGACTCATTTCCAAAGTACATGTATACCAGCCAGAGCTTCGCATTACCGAATGTTGTCAGGTGCATGGCGTCTGACCAAACATGAGTGCAACAACCACTCGTGGTAAGTCACATCCTGCCTCTCCAGGGGACTCTTGAAGTTCTCGGTGCGCATCCATAAAGGCCGGCAAGGTGTACAGTTCACCTTGAATGTCGACTTCATGAGGAAGGTGAGGAGCGTTCCATCGCAGTTGGTAAGGTTCATAATGGAACAATTCGTCATCCTGAGCATTTGACAGCTTTTCCCTGATGATGGAGGTGAGAGAGCGATGGTACAAGTTTGCTGCGATGTAAGGTCGAGCACCTGGCTGAGCTGTCGTTCGAGAAAAGGGTACTTCAATGGTTACTGGTGTTTTCTGCCAACCCGCTTCCTCATCCTCCCATTCGTCCCCCTCATCATCCTGAACGCTCGCACCTAACTTCGAGTTAATTCCGTCCCATGGCGTACTCCGGACATCGTCAGGATGAAAATCTGGATCTCCGACGATGCCAATGAGCTCCTTGAAGCTTTGATGAGACTTTTGGGCACCACCATGCCAGTACCAATGGCCGAGCTCGAAAGAGGATTTGTTGGGGTAAGGGTGAAATGAAACATTGTGATACTCGATGCGAGCATCTGGCTCTGCTGAAGTAGCAGCTTGGACAAAGCTGATATCTTGGAGTGTTACGGCTTCTTCTGGGTCGTGGGATGGGGGTGTGGATGAGAAGAATTGGTGTACCAGTCCGAAGACGTTCCTAGCCATACAGAATGGGGGTAGTTGCAAAGAAGCATGAGCGCTGGTAGATGCGTCTGTATGATTTACCGGTGGGCTAAGTCTGGGTGCTGGATTGGTATGGCCAGGCATAATGCTTGGGGGAGGCTGAGGAAGTACATCCTCGTACTGCCTATAGCGTAGCGGCATTGGGACATCAACTCGTCGGCTCCTCCACTGCGCCAGTGGCAAGTCCTGGTCTCCATCTATTTCTATAGGCACAGAGCCAAGACCAGTATCGAATGCTGAGGACAATGCATTTTCTTGCGGTAAGGAACCTGCATGCGGAACGTCGTTCTGTGAGGGCATTCTTGACAGAGTCGGACACGCGTAAGAAGGATCTGCACCGGATCTCCCATTAATTGAGTTAGCAGACAGATGCACACTTGAAGACACTATGTTGAGGCCTGCATGCGGCCTACCATGGCTACGGTCCACTCGTGGCCGTTTTATAGAACCCAAAAGGTCCTTTGCCTTGGATAAGGCGGAGAACAATTGCTTCTTGCCCTTTGTGCACGATTGTTGATGCCTAGTGTAGGCGCTCTCTTGTTGAAACTCACATGTACAGGTGCATCTGAAGGGGGTTGGAGTTGACGACGTATCTGCCCAATCCGGGGCCATAGGGAGGAAGGACTGACAAGGTAAGAATATGGTAGAGCCTAATGCTAAAAGGATTGGACGAAATTACAATTGGGCGTATGAATTCGGCAGCATTAACATAATAAACTTGGGCGCTAGCACTGGCCACCACAGTTACTGAACTGCCGTCACAGCGCCAGGCTCCAGGCCAATAACTCTGGCAGGTCACTGGCCGGTGCACTTGGCGATGGTAATATAGGCCGTCATACTGCTATAGGTCCCAGCCTTATAAAAGCAGCGTAGAAGACGTGTCCTTGCTGCACCAAACCACTCGATGGAAGCCCCGTCTTCGCCTTCCTCTATCATCACTGCCCCACCTGAAAATCATGAAACTGCTCGGAGGTTAGGTAGACTGATTGCGGAGGCTAAGACCTGCCATGTCGCCCTCCTACACTATGATAGGACCTCGCAATCCATGGTTGATTGGTTTTGGTGAGACACCACCAGATCCTACGTGAATGTTGACGTATAACACCGCTCCACAAAAACACAGGCCTGCCAACAGCGACGGGAAGAAAATTCCGCCATCCAACCTAGAGGACCACCGTGATGCATACAATTTTAGGTACCCGTGCTGCCTGTGTGCCGATGGTGGTGGAAGAGGGGCGTATGTAGAGTCTGCCGTGTACTCTTGGTGGAATAAGGATATCAAGAAGGCTGATTGGACTGTAAGATGCGCATCTGATATATGCGGATACCAATGTCAGTGTCTTTCGTGCTCAAGAGAATCTCAGACTCAACGTCACACAGTGAAAATAGACAAGTTCTTCATGCAACCAACTTTAGCCACCTGCCAGTATCCTCGAAGAAGTACGTACTTGAAATCTGTAGCACCAAAGTTTCACTGACTGGATGAAAAAGAGTGGGAAATACTACCTGTTGAACTCCAGTGGACCCACAAAGAGCAAATAGAATTGCTTAACAGACTCAACTCCTCTGTTTGCAATGGGATTACAGTGAGGGAATTTTGTATTCTGTTTAGATGCTGCAAAAAATGCATGCGAGTTGGGGTAAAGCCGGCGATGAAACACCATATCTGTGAGGATGGTATGAAAAGGCGAAATTGAGTCAGAGGTTACGACTCAGTACTAGTATGGCCTGCATAATATTGACATACAATTTTAGTTGTTCATCCTCATCGCGTTTGACTTGTCATGACTGCAGCTTCGTCGTCTTCTGCTCTGTCATTGTCTTCTCCTAGTTCGACCTTCTCAAAAAGGAAGTTTTTGGAAGACTGTCCAAAGAGAAATTTCAAATGAGTCAACAAACCTTGATAACAATCTGCTCCCATCATCATGCCAATTATGTTCTTGACCATCCTCAGCAGGGCTGTACAAGTCTTTGCACCCATACTATGGTGCTTATTCAAGTTCAATGTTCTAAAAGCTGCTGGGCAAGATATTAGCCTTCGACATAAAACAACATAGTGGGTTTTCAGTAGTCTTTAAAGCTCATCCAAGATGACTGATCACCACATTAGCTTGTCTTCTGAACAATTCTTTAACATGCCACCATATTCTTTGAAATCAGCACGTCTAACATTCTCTTTTACTTCCAAAAGCTACTAGGTCGATCCCAATGACTCTGGCCCTTCTATCTTGCAGCTTCGCCTACCAGCAAATACGACATGGCGGGTGGCATCTGTTCTAAAAGCTCTACCCAAAGTGTTGAAGGCAATGTGCTTGACTGGATTACCACAAAGTGGTAGAATCTTGTCCCTCCTCTTGCTCGCAACGTGAAAATTTACCGCGGTTTTATGTCACTTTGTGCTACTGGTCTAGCACTCAGTGCGTGGTATCTTACTCGTGTGTTTACTTGGCGTACAAGAATTGACCAATTACGCAAATTAGTATATGTAAGTTCATTCTGTCTATCATATGTACACGTGGTTAAACTATCACAAGCGCACAATCTTCGAGTTTGGTGAACGTAACAGGGCCACACCCATGCGCATCATTTTCTTCCGAGGTGGCCTTTCTGAAGGAGAATACGCACTCACGGGACAAGAGGAGATTGACGACATCACAGATTAGTCAGTTCAGCGACGGCCATTTCTTATTTTCACCATGTCTACTAGGGGCAATCGATGATATCTGGCGGGAAAAAGGCGTGAAGGGCGCAAAACCTGAACTAACATTCATTGTCATAGGTAAATGGTAAGTTTGCGATCATACATATAAGCATTGATACAGTTAACTGATCAAATAAGAATACCCAAAAATCCAGAAATAGAGCACGCAACCAGAGTGTCTCTCCAATATCCCCAGGATGCTGCGCAACCCATTATCAAACTCCCCAAAAGCTCAGGGTGTCATCTGAGCACCTGTCACCAATGTTGATGCCATCTCCTCTTAGATGACAACCATCGTTTCCAGCAGATGCCCAACATAAAGCAGATGGACTGGCTCAGGAGCAGGATCATGATGACAGCGATATCTTCTTACAATCTCCATTCAAATCACCCCATCTAGTGCACCGTCTATACCCCATCTCACATCCTAAACCAATCAAGTTAGATGACGATCAAGCGACACTTTTTCTGTCTTCCTCATCCGCTGTATCTTCCCTTTCTTTCATCACGTGTCCACCCAGCCACTACTCACACCAGTCAAGGATTCCCATCGTGCTGTACTAGCTGCCAAGCACTCAATTCGCAGCCTGCACATCGTGTGGGCGTAGGTACCAAGCGCAAATCCCCGCAATCTGGCGGTGGCGACTTCTCTACGCCTTTGCGTCCCGTCTCATCAGCCATGTGCACCCCTCTTAATATCTCGGCTTCAAAACCCAACCCTTCATCTGGTATCGCCTTCCACCATCTTCCACCTCTGCCAGCACCTCGCTTCACCCCCCAACCAAAGAGTAAAGCTGACACCGACACATTTCTCAAGAAACAGGCAGAAACAATGAAGCGGCTGCGCATTCGAGATCTTGATGACTCAGATGAGGACTGGGGCATAGATCGGGATTCTGATGGAGAACCTGTACAAAAGCTACCTGCACTTTGGAAATGCAAATCCCGGTCTATTAGCCAGAAAAAAAATCTCTCCTTATCAACGCTGGGCTAGTGCCACAGAAAGGTAGCTTAAAGGATGAGGTCACTGAAGCTATCTCACCAGGAGGGCATATCATTAAGCGTCGGGCACATTCAAGGCCCGTTTCCATTGAACTCCTCAAGAGTGTGAACCACTCACCGTCACCCAAGGTTAGAAGCTACATTGAATATCGGTATTTATATATATTCCATTGTGCTGACAAAACTTCACTCTAGGCTGAATGTTCCAATATGAAGCCACCCACTGTGCCGATAACATTTCCTTCTGTATCTCGCAATCGCAATCGGCCCACTTCCTTTGTTGGTTCGCCCTTTCCTGTACCATGAAGACGACTCACAGGCTCCAGCGGTCCTAATCCTTTCCTTTCTCACACACCCTCCTGTCTCAATTTGCATTCTCAGCCCCACCCCCACCCTTTCGCCCGAATGGCATCCAATAGTTCAGCTACTCACTTCTTCGGACCCTCAATCTCTCAATCCATGCAGTGCCCACGCAAGCAAATTAATTCTTCCGTCGACGCTACTCTGGATCTGTGCATGCAGTCCTGTCTCAGTCCGTCGAATCGACATAGCTATGCTGGCCCAGACTCGGCTGGTGTCTCCGTTACCCCAATGTCATGGACGCTGTGGTCGGGTTTGGACACACCTTGCCAAACTCTTTGCCTCTGAATGACGGTCTAGGCACGGTCTTCTTGACGAGTGACTGAGGTGTCATGCTCCCCGGGCCTGTGCTGGCAAGGCGATGACAGGTTTTCTGATGGTCGCACTGTGATCAGTATGTGCCAAACAAATGAAATAGTATTTGATTTCATTGATGGACTGATGCACATGTAGCAAAAACATCTCGAGGACGGCATGAAAAACAAGGCGACAAGATCATGAACCGTTCTTGATGTTGTACGATCTTTTGCGGAGTCTAAGTGTTTCGCTTGTTTTATCTTGGAAAACTACGCATTCCCTGGTGGACTCATGATCAGGACTGACTCTCACACACCGAATGCGGGAGGTTTGGGTATGGTTGCCTGTGGTGTTGGGGGTGCCGATGCTGTTGACGTCATGGCAGATATTCCTTGGGAATTGAAGTGCCCTAATGTCATCGGTGTGAACCTTACTGGCAAGATTGGAGGCTGGACTACGCCCAAGGGTGCGCGTGTCCTCGAATTGATTCTCTTGCATAGTTAACCGTTTGCAGACGTCATCCTGAAGGTCGCTGGCATTCTCACTGTCAAGGGTGGAACTGGTGCCATCGTTGAATACCACGGTCCTGGTGTCGAATCATTGTCATGCACGGGTATGGCCACTATCTGTAACATGGGTGCTGAAATTGGCGCAACTACCTCACTCTTCCCCTTCAACCGTCGTATGGTCGACTATCTCAACGCTACCAAGTGTTCCGAGATTGCTCAATACGCACAGCGCTTTTCACACAACCTTAAGGCTGATGAGGGCTGCGAGTACGACCAGAACATCGAAATTGTTTGTGATGTTGTTAATGTCCTCGTCATCCAGACTGATATTTTGTGCCCAGAACCTCTCAGAACTCGAGCCTCACATCAACGGTCCCTTCACTCCTGATCTTGCTACCCCTCTCTCAAAGTTTGCAGAGGAGGTCAAGAAGAACAACTGGCCCCAAGAACTTAAGGTCGCTCTCATTGGTTCCTGCACTAACTCTTCATATGAGGACATGTCACGCTCTGCTTCCATTGCCCGCGAAGCTACCGAGCATGGCCTCAGTGTCAAGAGCAAGTTCACGATCACTCCTGGTTCTGAGCAAGTCCGTGCTACCATTGAATGTGACGGTCAAATTGGTGCTTTCGAAGAGGTCGGCGGTCTCGTCCTGGCTAACGCATGCGGTCCTTGCATTGGTCAATGGGACAGGCAAGATGTTAAGAAGGGCGAGGTTAACTCAAGTGCGTTTTTCGTCTCATTATATTACATTTTGTAACTAATGGTTTTTAGTTATCACCTCCTACAACCGTAACTTCACTGGCCGTAATGATGCTAACCCTGCCACCCACGCTTTCATCGCCTCCCCGGATATTGTAACTGCCATGGCCTTCGCTGGTGACCTCACCTTCAACCCGGTTTCGGACACCCTCATTGGTTCTGATGGCAAGCCTTTCAAGTTCTCGGACCCTACTGGTAATGAGCTTCCTCCTCGCGGCTACGACCCCAGCCAAAACACCTTCCAGCCCCCTCCTGGAGACCGTGCTAGCGTTTCGGTTGCAGTTGACCCTAAGAGTGACCGTCTTCAACTCCTCCATCCATTCATGGCTTGGAATGGCGAAACACATGTTCTATGACCAATGGCTACTATGATCCCCTGGATTGATTTATCTTTCCTCACGCAAAAATATCCCCTTCGACCAATCAAAGCAGGAACGGTCATCATCTCCCGATCTCAAATTTTTGCTGATCTACGTACCGGATGGTGGTATAACTAGTACGAATACCATTGTCTTACGTCCACCAAGTTCGCCTCTCACCCACACCTATTCTCTACCAATATGGCCATAGTCTCAGATGATCCCACTTGGTGGTCGACCATCAATGCATATAGTTTGTGCAGCTATTTTATAGGTTCGTGGAGGGTAGTCGGATGTTAAAGTTAACTCAATCTAACCTTGGCTGTGGTTTCGTAGTCGCCGCCTTTGTTGCAGTTGTATGATTGGTGTGAGCATGATAACATTAAGAACTGCTGACGTCTTACGATTATTTTCAGCACTCATTAGCATCACAGAGGGAACCCCTTCTCCACGATCACAGAAAGGCAAGGAAGGATTGCTACCCTCCAAGTATAAGCCACGCGACTCTGGCATCGTCCTCAGCGACGACGAGTCGATTCCCGCGCGAAATTTGGTGTTAAGTTCGAGCTCTATTCACTCTGATGATGATAACGGTGATGATCTGGACCGAGTCCTGTTGCTAATTTCTGCCAATCCCTAACACACTTCTAACCTCGTTTAATTCCCGCCACTCGCTTTCCAGCCATTTGACCATGTCGTTCAGCTCTTGCTCTCTCTGCAGCGCCATCAGGGTCAGCCAACATCTCTCTCGTTCCGTTGCACTGATTTGTTGTCGTTGCACAGGATGGTGGCTTTGTGTTACGACAAACGGTCGTGTGCGACTAGGATGATCTAAACAGCGACAACCACGACAGTGGTACCAAGTGCTGAGAGTCGTCGGCCTTTACAGACAAGCAAAGGTTACGTACTCGAACGTAGCTCGTGGTGGTTAACGAGGGGTTACGCCGAGATGATAGCGGTTTACAGACAGTGAGAGGCGTCACTGAAGGTACGAGTCGATGTCGAGCAGGTAGCTTTAGCGGGACAAGGAGTTCAAGGGTAAACCTAGTAAGATTAAAGTAAGGAATGTCTACTGTTAATCTTCGACCTTATATAAGGCTATTCTTCATATCTAAGCTCAGCCTAAAGCTGGGTTCTAATCTGCTTATCTACATGAGTCAGAGATAGCGTCCATGAGGCGGGCTTCTATCGTAGATAGGATCCATGAGGCATCCTTCTATCAGTACATGAGGCAGCATGAGGCTTGCCTTCTATCTTGATAACATAAATAGGTCTTCTAGACCTATGTCGTCATGTGTCGTCACGTGCGGTCCAGACCGCTTATCTAAGCCGGCAGTTGCCGCTTATCGTCTATCATCATCTGTCGTCATCTATCGTCATAGAGCTGGTGAGACTCCGGTATCGTCTATAGCTGTGCGGTGGCAGAGGGCTGTTCTGCTGGCAGGGGACTCATGCCATGTTACTGTAACACTTTGGCCTATATAGGATTGAGCGGCCGCTGTTGCAGCCTTCCAAATTGCCTGCATCGTGTTCGTTAGCTGCCACAGTTAAGTACAATATACAATGACTACATACAATTGCCGATTCCGTGACAATCAATGGTCCTGGGACATCATAAGAGTGAGGCAGTACTAACTAGTAACGGTAAAGTTTTAAATTAGGTGCAAAATATCAGTCAGTTCTACTCACCACCTGACTGTTAGATTGATCGTCTTGTCCCTGAGCATTGAGCTGATGTTGACTATTGAACTCATTTGGATCCATGGAATCAGTATTGTAGTAGATGTGATCTTGATTATCGGTTAGAGTTCAGTGTAGTTCAAAATTCGGCTGAGTTCTAACTCTTGCCTTTTTGGGAAACTATGATATCGTTTGGACGCAATTATAATATCTGACAATTTCTTGTATATCAATAGCAAAATTGCAATGTTCTGATCATGATTGTTATGCATTGTAAAACTTCATTTTTTTTCCGTCGTTGTGACAAGCATTTGTAGCTTTCTATTTATCAAGGACCATTCTTGCGAGACGTGATGTATTCTCCTCACAATTGCGGTTGTCCTATAATCTACTGTCTTTCGACCCAATCTGCTCATGCTCATGTATTATGTTGTCTAGTTTTGTTTTTACATATAATCCCATGTATTTTTGCTCTGATCTTGCCGAATGAATCTAGGTAAAACATTGTCTCCCCAATTTCGTGATGATGCACATCACTCGTGATCGCGAGAAACGCCTCCTCTCCATCAGCCAAAAGACCTACCTGGAGAAGATTCTAGAGAACACCGGGATGTCTCAATGCAACCCTGTTGGCACGCCTATGACTCCCGGCATTGTGCTCCAGAAGGCCACTCGCGCTCCTACTGAAGACGAGGCAACCACCATCACATCTATTCCCTACCGTCGCACAATCGGTGAGCTTAACTATGCCATGAGGACCACTCGCCCCGACATCGTGTTCGCTGTGTCATGTCTCTCTCGCTACATGGAGAACCCTGGCATTGAGCATCACCATCAACTCAAGCACCTACTTAGGTACATCCATGGTACAACGAACCTGATGCTCGTCTTTGGTTTATCCGATGAAGGCCTCATTGGTCACTCTGACTCAGACTATGCCGCGGACCGCGACGACAGCAAGTCGACCAGTGCGTACGTCTATCAGCTGTTTGGTGGGCCCATAAGCTGGAAGGCACAAAAGCAGTCCATCATTGCAACATCGACGACGGAAGCAGAGTACATTGGTCTCTCGAATGCCTCCCGGGAGGGGCGCTATACCTCATCCAATTACTCCACGACTTCCGCGTCGATCCTGACCTATATGATCCCCCTCTCCTCTATGGTGATAACCAAGCTAGCCTTGCCCTCTCCAAGAACCCCAAGTTCCATGAGAAGGCTAAACACATCCGTGTCCACTACCACCTCATCCGCAGCCTCGTCGACACTGATCAGATCAAGCTTGAGTACAAGTCGACCTCGGAAATGTTGGCTGATAGCCTCACGAAGGCCTTGCCTCGCCCGGCTGTAATGCGTCACCGAGAGGAGATGGGACTTTGTCGTCCAACTATACCGGTTAGTCCACCGAGTGGGAGTGTCAAGAGCAGTTGATAGCATTCGTCGGACCACCCGGACATGACGACAAGTGGCATATATATATCAGAGACATTTTGCAGTACCTGACTCCTTTTCCCCTTTTCTTAAGACGTCGAATATCCGTCAACACACCTCAGTCCGTTTCCCCATGACTGAGGTGCGTATCGTTAGTTTCCTCTTTGTTATATCATCGTACTCACATCAGTAAATTCACACATTTCTTGGCAGACCTTTTTTCGAAAATTAAAACTTATTTTTAACTTATTGACACTTATTCACCTTTATTCACTTGGCTGTTTGTTTTCACAAGTCAAAAAAGGAAGTGTATGACACACAAGTGCCGAAAAGTAGCATAAGATCAAAAAAGTCAGTTCAAGTATTCGAAACAGAAATAAGTACAGCAAGTAAATAAGTAGTTCAACTTGGTATGTAACCCGCGGCAGGTAGTAACTCGTGACCCATGTATTCATGTACTAGACATATGGGTGTAGGTACAATGTATATCAGTAGTAGCAACACAATAACGAGATCGACAGACTCACGAACTGTGAACAGCGGGAAATGACTTGGATCAGCGTGGCTTGAGCTCAAAGGGGGATCGACAGACTCATGAACTGCGAATGGCAGGAAACGACTTGGATCAGCATGGGTCTTGCTCGAAGGGGGATCGACAGACTCATGAACTGTGAACAGCAGGAAACGACTTAGATCAGCATGGGTCTTGCTCAAACGAGGATCGACACACTCACTTCCTGTGAGCGGTGGCAATGACTTGGATCAGCGTGGCTCGAACTCGAACAAGGAGGGTGCTGGAGGGCGCCAGGTATGGGTGCTGGAGGGTGCAGTTGGGCATGGTTGGATTGGGAGGATGCGAGAGATGTGCCGGGGGGTGTGTGGAGGGCTGCAGTTAGCAAAAATTGAAAGAACAATTGATAGATGCACGTACAGTACCCAAACCCAAACTATACAAACCGATTCCTTCAATCTGCATGAAGCTAAAGTCAGTATGACAAAGATGGGCGCATGCAGTTTCAGGATTTGTCAAAAATGAGCGCTGTGAACCATCACGCGTCACGTGTCATATTTGAACCACGTCAGTTTTTCACACGAAGTTCACTCTCAACGTTAACGTTCAACCTTGTCTGACTCTCAATCTAACTTCCATGCATCATCTCACATACCTCCATACCTCAGTGTCTGAAACTTCACTCTCATGGTCTCGCACCCTTTCGCACACCTCCCAGTAAGTTTTTTTATTTGTTTTTTTTTCCATTTTACTAAAAATGTCTGTGTCTGAAACTTCGCCCATCCTTTCGCATGGCCTCCAAGTAAGTTTTTATTTATTTGTTGTATTTTCTTTTACTAATAATGTCTGCTTGCCTCAGCATCTGAAACTTCGCCCGTCCTTTCATGTACCTCCAAGTAAGTTTTTTTTCATTTTTTTAAATTTCCCTTGACTAATAATGTTCGCTTGCCTCAGTGTCCAAACTTCGCCTGTCCTTTCGCATACCTCCAAGTAAGTTTTTTTCATTTGTTTTACTTCCTTTTATTAATAGTGTCTGCTTCATTGCAGTCTGCCGCTTGCCTCATGTGCCGTCTGCCTTGTATGCCGCCTTTCATTCCTCGCATCCCACCTTTCACCCTCTTCAAAATTTGCTGCTGCTGGCTCCCCATTCTTTGAGTTCGTTTCTGCATCTAGTCGCCACTGCCACAAGTAGTTGTATTGTTTCCCCACTAGTACTTAGTAGTCCTATCATGTAATTATCCTTGAATGCAATATTTTGTCATTTTTGTCGAAACAAGTGTGAAATAAGTAGCCCCAACTTGCACTACTTGCAATGTGGGCTATTTTACAAATAAGTGCCAAAAAAGCCAACAAAAAGTTTGAAAAAAGTCGAAGTCAAGAGGAGGCATCTACTTTTTCGACTTAAATTGCCTTGTGGCAAGTTGATGGCAAGTTGGTGTCACCGTTCTTATGAATGACTTTTCCGCTCCTTTTTTGGAATTACCCGGCAGCAAGTTGCAAAAAAGGAAGTTCAAGCAATGTGTGAATTTACTGATG